TTCGGTGACTGACATGAGCAATGAGTGACGGCGGAGCATATCTTTGATATCAGAGTAATTCAAGGCTTCAAGCCATATGGGATCGCCGCTCCAAATTGTAATATAAACAGTCCAGTCATACGATCCGTCGATACACAAATGGGTAAGGCCAATCCCTCGTTCGTAAGACAACTCCTCGGTCATGGGATGACAGTTGACTAATATCTGATCCCACCAGCATTGATGGAGATTTTCGAGCCACCGAGGAGGCGTGCACACCACGCCATCCGCGGTATGGGAGGCGAGGCTCGTCTGGATGAACCAGGGCGCCGACCCTATTTCCGCCTTGGTCGCGTTGTGGACGGGGCAGTAGGTCCTAACGATGTTATACTGGAATTCGTAAGGGGGAATGTAGTCCGTCCGAACAGTGAGGTCAATCATGATGGGCTCCACCCATTCCTGACTCTCTGGCAGGGCCTTTGGCAAAGTGTGGCATTTCCGGCCCGAGAGAAATCCGCAGATCCAGTGCCAGAAACAGCGACGTTGTGCACCGGGTGGCGGTGAAGTGACAGCTTCCTTGGTGTGCTCAACGAGTCTCTTTTCGGACTTGATGTCCACGCTCGAATCACTGGGAGTAGAATTGTGGCGGACGATTGAACCCATGGTGCTGTTGGCGTTTCGGTGACGTGAGATATTCTTATCGTGGGGTGAGGAACGAAGGTGTATGTATATATTAGGGTGAGGGCCTGGTTTGATGGTGATGGGAAAGAACTTGGAAGGAATTCTGTCGGGGAGGACAAGCTTAAAATAGTCGTACAAAGTACTCTTTCTACCTCGTTGATCACGGTAATGATCGAACACAATCGAGAATTGATGACGATTCTCCGATCCCCCTCGTCACCATTAAGCGGTTTACGTGCTGTTTGCCCATGTTTTCCGTCATTCTGACGTAGCATCAGCTGTTTGGAAATGTCCTCTCAAACAGAGGTCAGATGAGGAAAGGACAAGGATAGGTACCTACCGGAGTAGTTGAGATGCAGATTAGATCTTGCAGTGGAGGAAGAGAGATCTTCCGGAATTCCCCAACTCCCTAACTGGGTCAGCATTTCACCCCGCATTTCCTTATTTCCCTACCCCACTCTTCCGAAAGTGAATCTCGTCGCAACGTCAGGCCACGAACTGGGTAGACTCTCATGACGGACATGTTACATATTACTCTAACAGTAGCCGCTTGTATAGAAGGTAGGATCTTGTCATGAGTGCGAGCGGCCAATTGAAACATCCTCGCTGGTAGCGGTAAGCAAATGCACCTATAAGAACAATCGGACTTCGAGGATCCCAGACATTTCGAGGTCGCCGGGGTCCGATTGGGGTTGGACCTCGGCATCGCTGGTTCGGGGTTGAGTTACCGTTCCAATGGGTACCTACTTAATCCATACGCCAACAATTGAGTTTGTAGCTTTAGCCTCGCTCCCCAACCGCGCATCCCAATAGCCCATCATGTCTGAACGGATCAACCAGATTGCCCGCCAACTCAACTACCCAAAGGGGCTGCTCGCGGGCCAGGTCGCCATCATCACGGGGTCTGGCCAGGGCATCGGGGCCGAGTGTGCGAGGCTGTTTGCGAACGAGGGGGCGAAAGTGGTGGTATCGGACATCGACGCCGCCAAAGCCGAAGACGTGGCTTCTCAGATCAGAGCCAACGGTGGCGAGGCTCTTGCCGTGGCCGGAGACCTGCTCAAGGATGAGTGTATCACTGAGCTCATCAAGAAGGCAGCCGAGTTTGGCAACGCTAAGATCCACATCCTCGTCAACAACGCGGGCTTTACCTGGGATGCCGTCATCCATAAGGTAAGCATGACCTCCCTCTCTCGCCCCCGCCTTCCATCTGATCCCATCCCCGTCCCATCTCCCACCCCCTGTCTCACCTCCCACCGTCTTCCATCTTCCACCCCCTCCCCCGCTAACCCCCCACACACCCTACGCAGATGACCGACCAACAATGGGACACAATGCTGGCGATGCACGGCACAGTCCCCTTCAAGCTCGTGCGCGAAGCGGCGCCCTACTTCCGGGTGCGGGACGGGGAGGCGCGCAACATCGTCAACATCTCGTCGACGTCGGGCCTGCACGGCAACGCGGGCCAGCTCAACTACGCCATGGCCAAGGCTGGCGTGGTCGGCTTGACCAAGACGATCGCCAAGGAGTGGGGCCCGGCCTTCGGCGTGCGCGCCAACACGGTCGCGTTCGGCCACATCGAGACGCGCCTGACGGCGGATAAGGAAGATGGTGCGTTTGTGGAGGTGGGTGGGCAGAAGGTGGCGTTGGGGATCCCGGGGAAGCAGAAGAAGGCTGCGGTAGAGGCGGCTGGGGCGGTGCCGTTTGTGGATATTCCGCTGCGGCGGCCGGGCACGGCGACGGAGGCGGCGAGTGCGGTGTTGGCGATTGCGTCGCCGCTGAGCTCGTATATCAGTGGGCAGACGATTAGCGTGACGGGTGGGAGGAACATGTGAAGTGGAGTGAGTGACTGAGTGTGATGGGAGAGGGTGGTGAATGTGACAGTTAAATATTGGATTGCATATGATGAACCACACAACAACGCCTTAGCTCAAATTCCTCTCTGATCATACAACAAGCCCCTTTTCGCTCATGCTCTTGGTATCTCTCAGTATTACCTCTCTCTCCTCTCTCACCACTCCGTATCCCCTCCACACACCACCATCTCATTCTCATTCTATTCCTCAACCTAAGTCGATCACCAAAGCTGCAGCACCTCTTTCGCATACTCAACAATCTCCTCTCGCGCAGCTTACTGTCTCCATACACACGGTCACAAACGAAATCGGCACCTCCTCAATCGTGTACCTCTTCGACTTGGCGTGACTGCAGCGCATCTGCATGGAAACTCGCGGCATCGGTGCTCTCAACAGCTCTCGAGCACTCTGCTATACAGCGGAACTTCTCGTCAGATCACTGACACGGGCGCAGCACAGTATCGCCAAGATATGCGTCTGCTGTCAGCTGCGCTGAGGTCCCACCATAAACACCACCGTCGCCGGCGTAGCGCGTGCCCGTGACTATGTCGAAGCCGCGCGCCCGCTGCAGCGCGATCATGCGCGGGATGAACTTGGGGTGGTGGCTGAAGTCGGCGTCCATGATGATGATGCGGTTGCCGCGCGCGAATTTGAGGCCGTGCACATAGGCTGTTCCCAGCCCCAGCTTGCCCGTGCGTGCTTGTAGCTGCACGTGCGGCGCGTACGCTTTGATGAGCTGCTTGGCGACGTCTTGCGTGCCGTCGGGCGAGCCGTCGTCGACGATTACGAGCTCCCAGTCGATGTTACTAAGGGGGGAGATTGGTGTTAGTTGTGGGGGAGGGGGTTGACAATTAATTGCCTACGGCTGGAGGGAGGGGAGGGAATTGGGTTGGGGGATAGCGAATAACGCATATGGGATTGGTGATGATGGGATCGACGAACTGCTCGGTAAAGGTGCGGTTTAGCAGCCAGGTGATGATGGGCAGATTCTGGCGCTCGTTGAAGGTGGGTAGGATCACCGAATAGGTGTCCTTGTCGGAGGACGATTTTGCGGGCGCCATTGTATGTATCACGGGGTAGAATTGGGGGATTTCGAGTTTGGTGGTGCGGGAGGAGGAAATCACAGTTCGATGGAAGCGCAGGTGGCCAGTTTGGCTTCTGGCCATACGCGACACCATGTTCAGCGACGGGAGCACATGCATGGGACCCCCTGAATTGGATGGTTTCTTGGCAGAGGTACCAATCCCCAATCCCTGCCAAGAACTTTTCTCATGGCCTGGGTGCCCAGGCTTCATTTAACGTCTGACTACCAACTTTCAAAAACATTTTCACCAATATTATTCGCGCACGAGAAGGTTGTTTAGTAAAACTCTAAAAATCAATTGAGTTCTACGCTCTTTTCACAAATCACCTCGACATCTCTCCAACATGGGTATCCAAATTGCCAACTCTAGGCCACAACCGATTATCATCCCCTTCTTTTCGTCATCTCCTCTTCCTTTCATGTCCTCCCGCTCCCTCCTTTTTTCATCTACTCTTCCTCCTCCTTCATAAGCCGACTCTAACTCTCCGCCGATATTCATGAATATGAGTCAACGGCGATAGCCTCACCCAATATCCAAATCTACTCTACAAGACATAAATCATTGCCCTCATAACAGCACTCACACAGGGGGAATACCCTGCGCGGTCCTCTGCTGCGTCGTCGCGGGGGTCAACGCGCCCGCAGACTGCGCCTTGGAGCGAGACTCGGTGCGGCTGGCGCTCATGGTGCGTCCCGCGCTCAGCCAGTTCTTGATGTTGCCGAGACCCATGCTCTTGTAGAACTTCTTGGTGCCCTCCTCGCCCTGCGACCAGCTGCCCTGGACCACCTTGTGGTCGTCGAGGATGTTGAGCGTGCGCTTGGTGTACTTCCACGCCTCGATGCCCAGCACGTAGACCACCGTCATGCCGATGACCACGCCCCACTCCCAGCTGATGGCCGTGTGCTTGAAGACGTCGCGGTTGAGGTAGGGGATGTACACGGTCGGGAACACGCTGACCAGGCCGATGGCCACCGCCCAGAAGAGGAACCGGTTGTTGTACAGGTCCTTGAACAGCGGGAACCGCGACGTGTCCTCGGGGTTGAGCCGGAACATGGACCGCCGGATGTCCTTGAACTCCCACGCGCTGAGTAGGATGAGCCAGGTGAGCTCGGCGAAGACGGCCGCGCGCGCCCGGAAAACGGGGATGCACGAGTCCGAGAAGACGCGGTTGCAGTCGTGGCCCAGCGCGCCGTCGTACATGCCGTAGACCACAATGACGAAGGTCATGAGCGTGCAGGTGCCCATCAGCAGGCCGTACACCATCATGTCGGCCAGGATCTGGTTGGTGAAGACACCGCGGCGCTTGTCGTGCGGCGGCTTGCGCATCACCTCGGCGCTCGCCTTCTCGCGGCCCAGCCCGAAGGCCGGGAACGACGACGTGACCATGTTGATCCACAGAATTTCCAGAGGGGAGATGGGGAAGACCGAGAAGCCCGTCTCGTCTTGGAACCCGAGACCGGCGATCAGTAGAATAACCTCGCCGACGTTGCTGCTCAAGAGGTGCAGCACGAACTTCTGGATGTTCTCGAACATGCGGCGGCCCTCCTTGATCGCAGAAACAATACTGTTGAACTTATCATCGGTCAACACAATCTTGGCCGCCGACTTAGCCACATCACTGCCCGAGCCCATCGCAATGCCCACATCGGCCCTGCTCAGCGACGGCGCATCATTCACACCGTCACCCGTCATCGCCATGAAGGCATCCCTTCGCCGCAGCGCCTCCACCATGCGCGACTTGGTCTCGGGGGCGCAGCGCGCAATGACCAGGGGCAGCTCCTCGAGGGCGTCGATCTCGGCCTCGGTCATCTTGTCAAAGTCGGTCGCCTTCATCACCACCGTGTTGGCCACCCCCGAGGGCAGCACCCCCATGTTGCTCGGCAGGATCCCCACCTCGCGCGCGATCGCCTTGGCCGTCTCCGGGTGGTCGCCCGTCAGCATGTGCACCTTGATGCCCGCCTTGGAGCACTCGAAGATGGAGGGGGAGGTCTCGCGCCGTGGCGGGTCGTAGATACCAGCTAGACCGAGGAGGATAAGATCTTGCTCGACGGCCGTGCGCGCGGCGTCTTCGGTGGGGTCGCTGTCGTTGTCGTTGCCGGAGGGGTTGGAGGTGGCGGCGGCGGCGGCGTCGTACTTGCCGTTCCAGGGGCGGTAAGCCACGGCCAGCACGCGCTGGCCCATGGAGGCGAAGCTGGTCATCTGCTCGAGGATCTTGTCCTTCATCTCGGGGGTCATGGGTTCCTGGTTGTCGCCGGTGCCGACGTAGGCACAGAGGTCGAGCACGCGCTCGACGGCGCCCTTGGTGAAGACGATGCTGTTGGCGGCGTCGATGCCCGCGTCGTTGTCCTGCGGCACGTCGTACACCACCGACATGCGCTTGATGCTGCTGTCGAAGGGGAACTCGCCCACCTGCTTCCAGCCGAGCCCCTCCATGGCCTTCTTGTTGCGGTCGAAGCGGTGCGTGAACACCTGCAGCGCGATCTCGGTCGGCTCGCCCGTCGTCTTCCACGCGCTCTCGCCGTCGTCGTACCGCACCGTCGCCAGGTTGCAGAGGGCGGCTGACAGCATGAACATGCGCAGCTCGGGCGTCATGTCGGCCATCTTGGGCTCCGCGGGCTTGGGGTTGAGCTTCTCGTCCGGCACGCCGTCGAACTTGATCGCTTGAGTGGTGCGCTCCTCGTCGAAGTCGCGCTTCTTCTCTTCGGCTTGCGGCTGGTCGCCTACGGTGCCCTTGTAGGGGTCGTTGGGGTCGGTTGAGCCAGAGACGGTGTAGATGTGCGACGGCGGCAGCCAGACCTTCTTGACAATCATGGCGCCTTGGGTCAGGGTGCCGGTCTTGTCCGAGCAGATGTTGGTCACGCCACCGAGGGCTTCGAGTGCGGAGAGATCACTGGTAAAAACGGGTTAGATCCTGTTCAAGGAATGGCTGAAAACGGAGATATAAGGGGTCACATACCGAACGACCACGTTGGCCTTCCTCATCACAGTGGTCGCCACAACCATGGAAATGGTCAAGACAGCGACGAGCGACTCAGGGATGATGGCAATACCAGTCGAGATGGCATAAATCACGACCTCCTTCGGCAGCGGCTGGACGAACTTGTTGACGCCAAACACGACCACAGCCAGGAGCAGCGCGCAGAAGAACAGAAAGTAAGCCAGCTTCGCCAACTTGATCTGCAGCGGCGTGCCCTCAGTCAGACCCAGAAACTTGCCCAAGAAGTCATACGTGCGGCGTGCACCGCCCTTGATAGGCTGGGCCTTGCCGTACTTCTTCCAGTTCATGGAGCGACCGGCCTTGCGGCGCTTCTTGTTAGTCGAGGCGGCGATCTTGCCGACCTCGGTCTGCATGCCCGTGGCGACGACGATGCCGCGGCCGCGGCCCTTGCGCACGATGGTGGTGGCATAGGCCATGTTGATGCGGTCGGCGATGCCGACCTCATCCTCGGTGGCGGCGGGCTTCTCGGTGCCCGGCACCAGGATGTCGTTGTTGGTCTGCTTGTCCACGGGGATGGCCTCGCCCGTCAGCGACGACTCGTCGCAGTTCAGGTTCATGGCCTCGAAGAGCCGCACGTCGGCGGGCACCGTGTCGCCCATCTTGAGGTTGATCACGTCGCCGGGGATGACTTCGGCGCTGCGGTGGGGGGTCGCGTGTTAGCTTCTGGGTGGGGGGCAGATGGGGGTACACAAACTACTACTACTCACTTGGGAATGACAATGGTCTTGCCGTCGCGGAGAACGCTTGCGCTAGGAGACGACAGCGCACGGAGCGCGTCCATCTTCTTCTCGGCGCCATACTCTTGGTAGAAACCAATTGAGACATTGAGCACAATGACGGCCGCCAGGACGCCGCCTTCGATGTAATCAGCCACCCCAAAGCTCAGGGCCATGGCGAAAAAGAGAACCTACTCGAGCGCATGAGTACGAGGCTATGGGGGTTATGGAGGTCATAGGGGGGGCAATGGCACGCACCAGGATCATGGCATTGCATAGCTGTCTGATAAAGATGGTATACCAGGCAATGCTGCCGCCCACGTCCAGCTCATTGGGAGGGTATTGTTGCTGCAGCTCGGCAGCCCGGGAGGAAGTCAGGCCTTTGTCGACATCTGTGCCGACGGCCTGCTCAACCTCCCGGACCGAGAGGAGAAATGGATGTTTGGGGAACTCGGCAGCCATCGGATGACGGGGACGAGTTCAAAGCGAGTACACGGGATGAACAAGACCTCGGACAATGGGCACTTTGCTTCATTGGCGTATAGAAGGGGGAATGGAGGGAAGGCTTAAATCGCAGAATCAGGGCTGCGATTTCTACGATACCAAGCAAGAATATAATGGGAGGATATCGATTCGAGGGTTGATGGTCAACAACGATGACGACAGACAAGACATCCAAGGGGGGGGGGGTGGGTTTCTTTAAGTAGCCCCAACAGCATGATCTTGGGTCGTCTGTCGCTGCGGAAAACCCTGCCGTCCCATTGCCGCTTCACGCTCTTTTCCTCACCGATAGCTCGGGTAAGCGCACAGAAACCATGTTTGGGCCTGTTGGGCCAAGACCAAACCAAGAGGTATATCCCAGCGTGCCCAGCTCTCTTCCGGTGTTGAGTCGCAGTTCAGCGCGGCGGGTGTTGCTGATGCCCCACTGTGGGGGAAGCGTTGAGCCTCTCAGCATCTAGCCTGGGACTGATAAGCTGCAACGGGGTGGCGATGGCACGTTGGTGGGCTCCGAAGGCGTTGTTCTTTGACTCCGGGGGGCGGCTTGGGGGTTATTGGTCTTTGTCAAGCCGGTGCCAGGAGGAGCTATGATAGGGCGAAGGCCCCGCAAGGAATGCGCAGCGAGGTCATCCCGCTTGGCGCCGAGTCTCGGCATGCCGTGTCTTCCTTGTTCCCCACGCTTGGCGCCGCCGGTCCTCCGGCTCGCAGGCGGCCGGACTTGCTCGGCCCTGCTCGGCGTCCCTCGTCGTCGGCTCCCCCGTCCCCGTACGCCCTCCAGATCCCCCTGCCCATTGTGCCATTCCTCGCTATTATCGCCCTTTTCTCCCGGGAATGCCGCTGTTGGCGACGTGATACAACATGATACAACATGACGGGAATGGTGGCTGGGGGCCCAGACTTTCTCTTTTCGCCTGTTGCCTCGCTGTTCCTTTCGCCGTTCCTGGGCACGTGGGCCGATTCTGATTGCTCTTGTCTTGGCTGCAGCCTCGGCGTGTATGGTCAGTGGCTGGTGAGGCTGGGCATCTCCCGATGATTTCGAACAAGCCGCCGCATCCCATGCTCCTGGGTGGGGTTTGATGGGATTCGATAGGGTTCGATAGGGTTGATGATGGAACCGGCGCGGCTGGGCAGTCTCGAACACTCATCAAGTCTCACCAAGTTTTACCAGCTCAGTGTATGTACAGGTCTCACCAAGACTCACCAAGTCCAACGAGTCTCACAAGTCTCAGTCGGTCTCCCGTTCCGATCACGCAAGCGCGAGGATCTCGTTGCTTGTCAGTGCTTGTTAGTGCTTGTCAGTGCTTGTTTGCCTACACAGCATGCCGTGTTGCCGATCGGCTGCCCGCAATATGCGATTGACGCCATGCCCAGACGGTAGGGCTGCTCATCCATGTGGGGGAGTTGGGGGAGTTGGGGAATTCTCGGTTCTTGCCACAAAAAAAGGTAATAGAGGTTTGCGACTGTCATGTCGGATGCTGGGACACGAAATCGGAGTTTCAATGTGTCGATTTGCTCTAGACCGCCTCCAACCTTAAATCTCCTAGCGCCCGTCTGCTGCACCGTCTCGTGGCGTGGCGGGGCCGGGTAGGGCACCGCTGGCGAACCGGATCGCGACGGCAGGGCCTTTCAGTGCCGGCAGCTCAGACGACCTCCAGCGGAGTTTGGGGGGGCTTGAGGGCGGCCCTTGGGGGGCTAGAACCGCCGATGCGGTATTATTATCTGAATGAATTGGAGCAACAGGATTGGATTGAAATGCTGGCGGGGTCATTTGGGGGATCCGGGGCCTTGAGAGAGCTGTTGGGGGTGGAAGAAAACCATTGGTCCAGCGGATGATCCATGGATGGATTTGGTATGGGAGATGTCAACAACGAGAGAGCGGTAAACAACCTGGAAAGCCTCAAATTCAACAAGTCAACAAGTCTAGAACGGGCTGCCGGGGTTGGTTTACACGAATAAATCTGACTGTTTCGCAATTTGGCAATCTTCAAGTGTCGGAGAAGGAACGGAAGGCAATGACAGATGGCGTCATCACGTTGTCAAATATTTTAGGTGGGTACCTTCCATCCTGGGCCGCACACAACTATGGAAAACAGGAACGACTCGCATCGTTTCGCAACCTAAGGAGCCGAGATCCTGCGGTTTCTCCCGGCCCGGCGACCACACACCATTTGGTGTGTACTGTGTAGGGGACTACCTCCTTCAATCTGTGCCCTCGGTTAAGGTAAAGGATCGATATGGAACCCTTCTGTATGTAGCACACGGATCGCCGATATACATTATTCCGGCGGGGTTGATCCGTCGGTGCGACGGCATACAGAGAACACAGAAACATGGCTGCTTCGTACCGTGTGCGATGAGACGCTGCCACAGTAATCCGCCGCATCCCCAACCTCATACCTGTTCTCCCGCTTTTCTGCCTTCTCCAATTGCCATCTTGTTCCTGGGACTGCCATCGAGTTCTCGACGAAAACCACCTATTCCACCACGCATTGGCCGATTCTAATCGAGATATCAGTCCGCCGACCCTCGATCGAGAGCTACTTTAGACTACGACCTAGCGCCATTTTGCCCTTACGTCATTTTCGCGATGTCTGCCGAGGTCGAGAAAGGTGAGATACCACGTCGGCGCCGGAAACAAATCGCGCCATCGCCCTTGAATTGGATATCGCCCTTCAAAAACAGACCTCGTGCACTGAAAGCGTCTATTTTATGATTTGCCAATTCCAAGTTTGATGCTAACATTGATTGGTTCCGTGATGTCTAGCCACTCAGCAGGCCGAATCTGCTGGCCCGCCTGTCGCCGCCGCGACTAGCGCCGCAGAGATTCCGGCACCCCATTTGCCCCAGAAACAAGACGAGGCCGAACCAGCAGAGCCCCTACCCAGCGGCGGAGTTGGGGGTGCGGTTCCGGACCCGAGCGCGCCGCAGGAAAAGACTGAGCCGACATCTGCTGATAAGCCTGCAGAATCCGGCGAGCCGGCCGCGCTGCCGACGGCACCCGTGGTGGGGGATTCCGAGCAAACTAACGGCGCCGCCAAACCGGCCGTGGCCGAGCCAGTGGCCGCCGCGGCCGCCGCAGCCGCTGCAGCAGAGACCTCGACAGAACCCGTCCCCGCCACAACCGAAACACCCGGCGCCAACGGCGAAACCAAACCGGCTGAAGACGTTGACATGGAAGGCAGCGCCCCGGTCGCGGACGCCACCACCGCAACAGACGAAGACAGCACCGCAGCCAATTCCAAGAAGCGCAACGCCGAAACCGCGCTTGGCCCCGACGCCCACGCCGAGGGCGACGCAGCAGGTGGCAAAAAGGCCAAGACCACCGTCAGCGCGGCGGAGACGGCCACGGCCACGGCCGGGTTCGCCCCTGGCGCCAAGCCGGAGGAGGCCAAGACGGAGGCCAAGACGGAGGCCAAGACGGAGGAGGCAAAATCACCGGCGGAGACCAACGGCGGCGGAGCTGGAGCCGGGACTGGGGCTGGAGCTGGGGCGAAACCCGCCGACCCTGCTGCCGCCCCACCAGCTCCTCCTGCTCCCCCTGCCAAGAAAGGGGGCCGGCCGAAGAAGCAGCCTGGTAAGGTCGCTGCCGCCGCGGCGGCGCTGATGGGGAAGACGGCGCGCAAGACGAGGAGCCAGGGGCCGGTGGAGCTCTGAGTTTGGATGAATTTTGCGTTCCTTTTTTTTTTTTTTTTTCCTTTTATCCGGTTTGTGAAATGCGGGCTGGAGATGGGGCGGGCTTTTGGGGGAGGGTTAGTAGCTGCTGACCGGTTCGAAACCCAACGTGGGGTGATGGTTTGATTTCTTGCGTTTTGTCGTTTCTTCGATACTCTTTTCTTTTCCTCCGGGCTTTTTTCCTCCACGAGCCAAGCCGACGAAGCCCCTTCATGGTGGGCCGTGGACTGTATGTACGATAACTAGAGGAATGTTTTAACTATGGCCATCGCGCCATCGGAGTTAACAGGCGTGAGCTTGTTTTTTACTCTTATGCTCCAACTGCCCTACACGTGAGCTCAACCCTAGATTGGCAACAGACCGGGAAACTGAGATGCGCGTCTTCAAATGGAGATGGTTGGTTCGCTACTCCAACACTTCATGCCTCCCTACCTATCAAATCTCGTCAGCTGCCCCTCCTTATCCACCAGTAGCGGTGCTCAAGACATGTGTGTATGTGCATAGGGCGGCCTGGGCTGGCCACGAGGTTCAGCCGCATGACGACACGGACTGGTCCGATCAGCCGAACTATCAGACCCCGAGATGCCCGTGCCCTGAGACTTCTTCAACTCTTCCATCTCGCCGACCTGGTTTCTTGATAACACCCATCAGCCCAGCGATGGATGGGCGAGATGCTCAACGGCTCGCGTGCAACGATCTGCGAGAAGGCGCACGGCAGCGTCTGATCTCTCGCCCGATGTGGCAAAGTTGCTCGATCCCGGGGACGTGGGATGGCACGCCAGTTCGGCCAGGAACGGGCGGATCGTCCAATCAATGGTAGGGACCCTGGAAATTTACCTTTATGCAACCACTTTCCGGGAAGCAAACATCGATTCCCTCACCCTCCAAAAGGATTGAGGGTTGTTGAGTTTCGTAAACATTTGGGATCGTCACTCAGCTTGCAGGATAGGTTAAACGTTGCTCTGCTGACTTTCTCGTACCTTAACCTCGACCACTTGGATGCGACACTGACGTTGTGCACCTCCCTGATTTCGTGCATCCAGAGCTCGTATTGTGAGTCGACTGCCCCACCTGATGGCTGTTTGGTGGGTCGCCCGACCGGGGAAACGGCTTCCCCGGAGCAAGTGGCAGTGCCAAAATAGCACTGTCGGGCATCATTGGACGGAATCGCGTGCCCATTGCTTTGTTGAGGTTGCAGCATTCTCAGGGGCGGGATGCCTCTGAAAGCTAAACCTGGGGCAGAGAGAGGCGGAGCACCAGGCTTGAAAACCGTTTAACTTGATGACCTTGATTATTTTTCAATGCAGAAGCTGGGTTGTAACGACAGAAACTTTGGCGTGGGCTCATTGCTTGGCATTAACCTTGTGCCGGCACCTTGCACCTTGCACCTTGCACGATTCCAGAACTTGGTCCCCTGTCCTTCGTAGAGTACCCAGGTCCCGACCCTTTTTTTTTCTCAGAACAACATTCTCGACTTACCTCCTTCAGATTACCTCCGCTATTCTTCACAGACAACAATAGAGAGATTTCGACCACCGCTCGTTACGGTCGATTTCTCCAGTCACTCGTTTTCTTAAACCACCAACAACCGCCTTCCCCCCTTCTACCCTTGTCGATCTCGAACCCCGTCGGCCGGTCATTTAAAAGCGACGCACCATTCGCAGTCTTGGCGCTGATCTTCCCCCGTACGGAGCATACGTCACTCTCTCGAGCATCAGGTCTGGCAGCCCACGCGACAAGAATCTAGAAACCTCGATCACGCTTTGAAGAAGGTCAGGAATCTTCCAGCTGCGGTACAAAGACGACTTTGGCTTTGACGCGTGGGTTCGTGAAAAAGAGGAGGGAAATTGCGTACAAAGTAACGAAAGACGATACAAACGGACTCATCATCAACCCTCCGACTACTTCGCCATCTTTCGAGCTCCGATTGCCTCGCTCGGGATCCCAGTTCTCTGGTTACAACTCTGCCCTTGCTGCCCTTCGTGGGCATTATCAACCCCTAACTCAGAGAAACCATGGACATTCTACGGCGCCTTCTCGAGCGCGATGTTGGGCCCAAGGATCCCGCTCAGATCCTTCTAGAACTTCTATCGGACCCCTTCTCCTCCCAGGCCAAGGTACGTCCTCCCCATGCCACTTACCTTTAACCCTCTTCCCAAGTTCTTGCTCACCATCTAACGCGCCTCTAGCTCCAACAACAGGCTATTTTTGCCGCCTTGGGCTCTTCTCTGGGCGTGACAGCCGCCATCGCCATCTGCTTTTCCTTCCTCCGGCCGTACAATAGCGTTGTATATGCCCCGAAACTCAAGCATGCCGATGAGAAACATGCCCCTCCACCCTTGGGGAAGGGTGTCTTTGCGTGGGTCGTGCCGCTGTGGTCGACATCAGAGCTGGATATGATCAACCTCGTAGGCATGGATGCCGCCCTTTTTATACGTTTCACCAGGATGTGCCGCAATATCTTTCTGGTCCTCTCGGTGCTTGGCTGCGCCATCCTTATCCCGATCTACTGGGTCAACTTTGCAGCCGAGGAAGCGTCGTGGGTGACTAGAATCACACCGTTGAATGTGTGGGCCTCTTCCCATTGGGCGACGGTGACATTCGCCTGGTTGTTGACGGCTGTGGTGTGTGGCTTTCTATGGTGGAACTATAGGAAGGTCTTGCAGCTGAGGCGCTTGTACATGAAGAGCGAGGAGTACCAGCAAAGCCTCCACGCCCGCACGTTGATGGTACGAATCCCAGCCTTCTTCTGCCTTCCCGGGCCTCGGCTAACCGGATCCTAGCTCTACGACATCCCCAAGACTCTTACCTCGGACGAAGGCATTGCCAGAATCATCGATAACGTCGCCCCGAATTCGTCTTTCGCGAGGACTGCCGTCGCTCGAGACGTCAAGGTCCTCCCCGACCTCATCCAGCAACATGAGAAGGCCGTCCGGAAATTGGAAAAGGTGCTGGCCATCTATCTCAAGGACCCGCATAACCTCCCGTCAGAGCGGCCCAAGTGCCCACCCTCCAAGAAAGACCCCTCATACGGCACCTACCCGAAAGGGCACAAGGCCGACGCGATCGACTACCTCACACAACGGATCAAGGTCCTAGAGCTGGAGATCAAGGACGTTCGGCAACGTGTGGATAAAAGGGGCTCGATGCCGTACGGGTTCTCGTCCTACTCGGACATCGCAGAGGCGCATGCCATCGCTTACGCTTGCCGCAAGAAGAAGCCGCATGGCACCATCATCAAGCTCGCCCCGAAGCCAAACGACATTATCTGGGACAACATGCCGCTCAATTCGTCAACCCGGAGCTCGAGACGGCTTTGGAACAACCTTTGGATGGCGGTTCTCACAATTCTCTGGATCGCTCCAAACGCCATGATCGCCATCTTTCTAGTTAGCCTGTCTAACTTGGGGCAGGTCTGGCAGGCCTTCGACGTCTCACTCAAGGAGAACCCCGGGATCTGGTCCATTATCCAAGGTATTGCTTCTCCGGCCCTCATGTCGCTCGTCTATCTCGTCCTCCCCATCATCTTTCGGCGTCTGTCCATCAAGGCGGGCGACCAGACAAAGACCGGACGCGAGCGCCACGTCGTGGCGAAGCTGTATGCATTCTTCGTCTTCAACAACCTCATCGTCTTTTCCATATTTAGTGCTCTATGGACTTTTACGGCAACCGTTGTTCAGAAGACTGAGAAGGGCATCGATGCTTGGGAGGCTTTCGTGGACGCCGACATTGGGCAGACTCTTTTCATGTCCCTCTGCGGTGTTTCGCCCTTCTGGGTCACCTGGCTCCTCCAGAGGCAACTGGGTGCTGCGATCGATCTGGCGCAGCTCTGGGCCCTGTTGTCCAGCTTCTTCATGCGCAAGTTTTCGAGCCCTACGCCTCGCGAGCTGATCGAGCTCACTGCCCCGCCACCGTTCGATTACGCGAGTTACTACAATTACTTCTTGTTCTACTCGACCGTCGCCCTTTGCTACAGCGCCATCCAGCCGCTTGTTCTGCCCGCCGCGGCCATGTACTTCTGCATCGATGTGGCGCTCAAGAAGTACCTACTACTCTACGTCTTTGTCACCAAGACGGAAAGCGGCGGCATGTTCTGGCGCATGTTGTTCAACCGTTTCTTATTCGGCTCCATGCTTTCTCACCTCGTCGTCTTCTTGATTGTATGGGTTCGCGGCGATGGGACTCACGTCCAGGCCTATGCCGTCGCTCCTCTCCCCTTCCTCATGATCGCCTTCAAGTTCTACTGCGCCCACGCCTTTGACAAGAAGATGCATTTCTATGCCACGACGTATTCCGCCCAGCAGCGTGCCGAGACCGGGTTTGACGTGAAAGAGCAGAGCGCGCGGAACGACCGGCTCGCTTCTCGCTTCGGCCACCCTGCTCTCTACAAACCTCTCATCACGCCCATGGTGCATGCCAAGGCGCAGAACCTCCTCGCCAGCGTCTACCAAGGCCGACTAAGCGATGGACGGGATGCTGCTTACGATGATTCTGTCACGGTCAGCGGCTATAGCGATACCTACGCCCTCGACAACATGTCGACGGGCAAGGCCGGGAAGCTCTCTCCTGCCGTTCCTGGTTTTGAAGTCGTTCCCGAGTCCCGCCTTGACTTCGAGTTCTACAAAAACCGCGATGAGTTCACCGCGGACCACGGCGGCGGCGACATGTATGGTCGACACCCAGATATCAACCGCCCCGGCACTCCAGGCACAATGGGCAGCGGCCACTCCGACTCCCGCCCAGGCACGCCCCAAGGCGGCATGGGCTTTGGCGGTGGGGGCAACAGGAGGAACTACTCGCAGTATCCGGAGTCATCTGCCGCTGGCTCAGCCTACCCACACGGCTACATGTCCTCGGCCGCGGCACCAGGCGTAAACAGCTACCCTGGCCAGTCGCTGTACGTTTCCGACCCGCCCTCTCGCTCTCGCAGCCCCATGTACGCCAACGCCAACGACAGCGGCACCAACCTCGTCGCCGGCGCGGCCGGCATGGCCGTGTCCACCCCCGCCTACCCTCCGACGCCGAGCTCGTACAACTCGCACCGCGATCACAACATGAGCCTCGATCCAGGCCCGATGCCGTCCATGTCGAGCCGCCACTCGCCCGTCTCCGCCGGCGGCTTGGCCGGCAGCAGCAGCCTCCGCGCGCCGGGGATGCTAGGCGGCGGACCCCACGGGTATGGCGGCCTACCGCAGACCGACGACCTGGACCTGGTGCAGTCGCCGCCGCTGCTGGGGGCGCCGTCGGCCCAGGATCCGGCCCAGTATGATTTCTTCCGGGGGAGCGGCGGTAGGAGTGGCGATCGCAGTGGGACGCCCGGTGCGGCGACCAGGGGACCCGGGGGAGGCAATTACCGGGGTTGAGGTTAAAAGACTGCTTGTCATGAGTGGGGATGGAGAAACTCGGCGGGAGAGAGAAAGATAGAGTGGATTTCACAGGGCTATCTAGCCTCGGGGTAGCAAAATGGCGCCATATCTTTGAAGGGGAACGGAGCGGAGCGGAGCGGTGCACAGATGGGTCTTTTCTTTTTTGATCTTTGCGAATTTCTTTCCTCGCATGGGCGGCATTGTTTGGCGTTGGCAGGTTTGGTTGCGCTGCATGGATATACCGCTTTGTTGTTGGTACATCACGGGCTGGCTATCTCGGTTGGGTGACTGGCAAATGACACTTTTTGATAGAGGACATATTGTAGAGGACTACTGCGGCTGGTGGTACGTACACATGTACAATTTTGTAATTGGATCGTGAGAGCGGCTTTGGCTCGTCGCGGGATCTGTTTTTTCTACGTGGGTACATTGGGGAGGCGGTTTTGATATGGATGCCTTGTGAGAAAGGGGCTTCTTGCTTGTGTGGTGCAAGGGTTTGGTTGTATGAAGTCGAGAACAAAATAAATGGTTACAAGTTTTGAATGTTATCGGGCCTCCAACCCAGTGGCCTTGTGTTGTCGATCTTCATTCTCCTGGTGCTCATCCGTTATAAACCCACCGTCATCTTTTTACCAACACACTATAAACCGCCAGACACGGTGACCCGTTGCACTGATGTCACACACTCAACCTCCAACGTCGCTGATACTCATCTTCACCAAGACGGATTGTCAAACCCGGCCCGTGGCTCTGACATGAGCTCCCCATCCCCACAGGGTTTATATTCCCGTTCTCCGAAGGCTTGCCAATTTTGACCCTAATCGTAGTTGGTCCCCTTCCCTACCGTGATATCATTGGGCGGTGCAAGGAGGGAACGTCGGCCGACAAAACTCACCCAGCATATTCCAAGGGAAAATTGCAAACAAGACAGCAGCAGGTAAAGAACGTAGCTCGTCATCCTCATCATCCTCGTTATAAAGACCGTCCTAGCAAACATGTCGTCGTCCTGCGCCCAGACTGCCCGCTGTCTGCTGGCCCTATGCGCCCTAAGATATCCCAACCCTGATCCAACACCGACACCAGCACCGGCACCGGCACCGACCGGCACGGGTGCCCCAAGAACCGCAACGCCACGCGCAACACAACGCAACGCCCCGCTTCCCGATGAGGGGGTTCTATTTCTTGCCCGACTTCTTGATGCCCTTCGCTGTGTGTTAGAGTCGTGGTGTGAGGTCAGGGGTGAGGGTGGCGAATAAAGGGTGAGTCGTACCTGGGTACCGGTGTTCTGCACGGAGGAGGGTCAGTGATGGTTCATCAATGGTGGCAAGAACAGAGCAGAAACTTACCAGAGGGCCCTTGCCGCCGGCCTTGGCCGCGAGCTCCTTCTTGGCCTTCTCATCTGCAGGAGTGGTTCGCTAGGTTAGGAGGCTGGGCTCGAAGCGAGGGTGAGGTTTTTTGTTTGGGGGATCCGAGTCCGTACAGGCACGCTGCTTCTCTTGGAAGGCCTTGTCCTCCTCATCGAGCTCCACCTTCTGCTTCTTTGCGGCCTGTTTTACGCAACGATATCGTCAGTTATGGCCGTCGTGTGTGTCCCTTTCGGGGGGATGTCGTATTGTGGTGCGCACCTTGAGGGGCTTGGCCTTGCCGCCTGTTGCGATGGTGTTAGTCGGATCAGAGATCTTCAGGGTATCAGTGGAGTAGGATGGAAACTCTTAAAAACATACCTTCTCTGCTTTGACCACCCATTTTGTGAGTTAAGTAAAAAAAAAAAAGTCTGGAATTGATGTATTGATCTTGGGATGGCAGATGCACTGTTGCAAGGTGCAGAATAGGGTATGGAAAAGTCGGGTGCGTGAAGTTGTCAGCGAAGAGACCCCACGAAGACAAGCCCGGGCGGCAAGGCTCATGCCAGCCGAGAGCCTGGCTTGGGCGGTGAGTCGGCGAAACACCGGGGAACTTGAGTGCGCTGGACGGCGCTGTGTCTGGGATCGCCACCCGACAAGGCAACCAGGCAGCCTGTCAAATGCACTGAGCAAACGGCCTGGGGCATCTCTCGACTTTCAGCCGCAAACGTCACTGGGCTTGTTCCATCCCACAACGATCACCACACGACACGACACACTGGTTATCGATTTCAAACATCAACCTTGCCCAAAATAGCCGTTGCTATTTTCGACCTCTGTAGCCCGTCACCGTTCGAGCCAAACAAAGCCCGCCACTTGCAACAGGTCCTGCTTGTGCATCTTCGAAGACTGAGATTGGGAAAGATTACAGCGCGTCGTTTGGGGGAACCGATAAGCGAGGACAACAACGGAAAAAAGGGGGTGCACTCGCTGGTCGGTACATACAATGACGTCCTCAGCATTCAGCTCGGATGAAGGGGAAATCGTAGAGGCAACTCCCCTGCCTCGCTCTGAACAAAACGGTGATGTTGACCGAAACGGCAGACATCGAGGCAGATTCCCATCGTGCACGCCTGAGGGTGACTTGCCATCGAGAGACTCGGCCGACGGATCTAGACGGAGCCGCTCACCCCGCGCCTGGAAGCGGCCTCGTGAGGACCGCCGTGACCGACGCGACACACGCCAGTTCCGCGTCCATTACGAAGGCGGTTCACGTGATGACCGCCGCCCGTACCGCGATCTAGACCGCCCTCCCTCGCGCGGCTCGGACCGCTACGACGAGCGCTCGAACACTCGCCATGGCAGCCGCGAACCACCAATATCTCGCCCCGGAGGGCACCGCCCTAGCGGCTATGACCGCAGCCATGGCCGTGACCGCAGAAATGATGGCTATCCAGAAAAGCGGCCTCGGACCCGCAGCCGGTCCCCCCGCGACGGAGACGGCAGGGGAAAGAGAGGTGGAGGCCGCTATGGAGCCGATTTGAGGTCAGGGGAAGACAAGTACAGTGCCCCTACTGAGAGACGCCCACAGGATGGCTCTTTGTCCAAACGGGCCACTCCGGTGGAGGCTCCTGATTCCAGGCAAAATGCTAAAAGTGATAAAGGTGCTACGGCTGAACGAGGCATCGACCATCTTGCCATCTCACAGACCAGGTAATACCCCCCGTCACCCAAACGTTGGACAATGCTGACATTGGTTTCAAAGCGCACCTCCCGAACCTGATATGGACTGGGATCCAGATACGGCTCTAGACGAAGAAGCTGCCGTGCAGGCCGAGATTGAGCGTCGGAGGCGTGCGAGAGAGGCGGCTCTCAAGCGGGGCCTCGGTGCCGCAACCCCCACAATTCAGACGTTGCAAATCGCCGATAAGCCCGCATCCACGCCAATTTCCACTCGCCAGAGCACGCCGGGGCTTCAGAGACCCGATGGCGCCACTCCGTTGTCAAGTAAGCCTTTCCTCAGTGTCCCTGGTTGATTCCTTGCTAACCACGCCAGATGGCCCCTCATCACCCGGCCTATCGCCTGGCAAAATCCAAGCGGCTCTGTCCCCTGGGGTCTTTAACTTTGCTGACGATCAGGCACTCATAAATGCCCACGGTGATGCCAAAGCTCTCGATGAGGATGGCCCCTCAGCTGCTGACTATGACCCCACGCTCGACATGCGTGAGGATGAGCGGCGAGACGAAATGCGCCATGGGAATGTAGGTCTGCATGGTGAGCCACGTCCTGCCTCCCAGGACGAGGTCAAGGCACCCGTCCCCGAGAAGAAGGAAGACGAGGGCGCCAAGAAAGACGAAGATGACGATGATGATTTCGACATGTTCGCAGACGACTTTGCCGACAAGTTCGCCGCGCCAGCACCTGCGCAACCCGACGCAACCCAGGACGTGAGGGCGCCGCAAGGCGGCGGTGGCGGTATCTTGGAGGGCGACGATAAAGAGGGCTACTACAAGATCCGGCCGGGGGAGCTGCTAGATGGTCGCTATCAGGTATCGACGACGTTGGGTCGTGGCATGTTTTCGGGGGTGGCTCGTGCCGTCGATATCACCACCAAGAAGGACGTGGCCATCAAAATCATGCGGAACAACGATGCGCTGCGGAAAGGAGGCTTCACAGAGATCAACATCCTCGAGAAGCTCAATGCCGCGGATCCGGATGACAAGAAACACATCGTTAGGTTCGAGCGGTCATTCGAGTACAAGGCGCATCTCTGCATGGTTTTCGAAAACCTGAGCATGAATCTCCGCGAGGTCCTCAAGAAGTTTGGCAACAACGTCGGCATCAACCTGAACGCGACGCGGGCGTACGCCTACCAAATCTTCCTAGCGCTGGGCCACATGCGCAAGTGCAGCATCGTCCACGCCGATTTAAAGCCTGACAATATTCTGGTACGTCATATCCTGTTACCGGTAGTATGACACGGGTGCTGACTTATTTTCCAGGTGAATGAAGCACGCAACATGCTTAAGATCTGTGATCTGGGCACAGCGATCGACCGTTCTGACGCTGCGACGGCGGCAACCGAACCCATGCCGTACCTTGTCAGTCGGTTTTACCGTGCGCCAGAGATCATTCTCGGCGTGCCGTTCGATTATGCCGTCGACATGTGGTCCATTGGCTGCACGTTGTATGAGCTCTACACCGGCAAAATCCTTTTTACGGGCGAGAACAACAACCAGATGCTCAAGAACATCATGGAGATCCGGGGCAAGTTGAGTGCAAAGCTCTACCGGCGCGGCGAACTTGCGCACAACCACTTTGACGAGGTGGGCAACTTCATCAGCGTGGAACGAGACAAGATTTTGGGCAAGGTGAGTTTTGACGTTCCTTAACCTACATTTCCCTTTCACAACACACTGCCACCCCCACTCCCACTCCCATCCCCACTCCCCTTGCTTGAAACTATTCTCGGGTCGTTTATCGTTTCATCGGATGTTCGATTCCCGAGTCTATTTTTCCCAGCCGGGCGGCAGCCAAGATGCAATGTTGTGCCGCGCGCTACTCTGCCGCGGCCGCATGGGGCCCCCCTGGTCAACGGGCGGTCTCCACGACGCGCCCGCCTCCCCCAGGCCTGCATCGTTGTGCAACAGGAGATGCACCCCTCAAACTGCTAGCACGCATCATCGTGGCCCAGGCGAGGTTACAGCAGTCCAGTTGGAAACCACAGATGCTCGATGGCGTTCTGCAGCGGCCCTTCACCGGCCTCAATTCCCGCCCCTATTCCTGTCCTGTTCTGTCCTGTCCTGCACTATCTTGTCCCCGCAGGAACGTGTTATCAAAACTCCGTTCCATAATTCCCCACTCTTCCGCATATGCATAACATGAAGATAATAAGGTCTGCCTTACTCACTGACTACCCGCCACAGACAAGCATCCGCACCCTCGCCAGCGTTAAGCCGACGCGGGACTTGCGCACGCGCCTCCTGGCCGCGTCTGCGGGCATGGATGACGCCGAGAGCAGGGAGCTCAACCACTTTGTCGACCTGCTCGAGCGGTGCTTAACGCTGAACCCAGATAAGCGCCTCACGCCTGCCGAGGCCCTCAAACATCCGTTTTTTACCCATCGGGTGCATGTTCATGGGCGGTAAGGAGAGCGGTGGTGGCCCGCTCGGGTTATTTTCGGGTACCAGAAACGGGTTTCGTTTAGCGCATGCGGGTGGCGGGCGGGCTTTGGGACGGCGTTGTCGCGGTTGGTGAAGGTGGTGTCCGGGATGAGGAGGCGCATGGTATGGTGTTGGAATTATGGGCGGCTTGACGGGTTGGCTCGGTACATTGGGAGATATGACGATATGGGATACCTGGAGATGAGTCGTGCACATCTATTTCGTCTTACCTCACCGCGTCATCCACGGCAGAAGTTTGTATTGTGGGGCCTGCGGCGTTTGGAAGATCCTACGTACCCATCAGTGTCATTACTGCCTAGATAGCCTGACATGGAAATAATACGCGTTTTGGCGGCCTCGTTTTCTGCTTCGGCATTGCTGTGCCTTTCATCACTGTTGCTACACACCGGTGTTGCCCTCTTTCTGCCGTTTGCCGGTTTCTGTGACGATGATGCATTCACCCGTTCCCGCCTGCCTGCCACTATGTAGGTATGTGCAGGCTATTCGGGGTCTGTACTCCCCCCATTGGAGTCCACCTCGGGGGGTGTATGCTGTAGTTTGTCTTGCATCGAACTAAGATATCCTGTTTGTTGGTGGCGTTTCCCTGCACGATGGTTGGATGCAGTGGATGATGTATGTATGTACATACCAACTCCTTTGCCGGCCTCACACAAATGATGCGATGCAGGTGACCCCCGTCCAGCAACATGTTCCCGGCGGCTGCTGTTCCCGGGACGGACGGCGCCAGTCAGCCCTAATATCAAATCGCACTCCACGAAAACCGATGCGAGCGGTGATTGAGTGGTTGAGCGAGCGAGGGAGTGAATTGGGGGCTGCGGTGTAGCTTCCCTCCGGTTCCTCCAATGCTTCCCCCTTGCTTATTCAGGCATGTCCATGACCCCGATGCCATCGGACGAATAATCCCCTCCCCCCTGCCTGGTGATCGATGACTAATACCGTGGCAAGAGGCGTGACGCCGCAGGAAGGAACACGAAGCTCTCCCCAACAACACCCCCAACCCAGAATCCATCCGTCCATCCATCCAATCCACCCACTCATCCCCTTTTTCTACACTGCACTGCACTGCACTGCACACACACACACTCACACACACGCAACGAACCGCCCGTGCTAGGCGACAAGCGGGTTCATGCACCCGGGTGGCCCAAGCGCACGCAACACAACACACGCCGGGAGCCGGTTGAAGAACAGAAAACAGGAAACCCCATGCCGGCCGGCGGCGGGTACAGAAAGTTATCTGTCCTGAGAGGGGGGGGGGGGTTTGTTTGCAGTTCTGCCTCTCGCCGCCGCCGCCGCTACTGCTGCGCCGCCTCCGCTTTGTTCATGTTCCCTGCACGACCATGACTGGACTGGGTCCATCCACCTGGATCCCAACCTCAAAATCCCAACCCCAACCCCAGCCTCTCTCTCTCAGTTCATCCCGATCGGCCGCGCGGCCGCGGGCGCTGCAGTGAGGTTAGGCTGTAGGTGGCCAGTGCGTAAGATCGATGTACTTGTAAGATCGGATCGTTGAGGTTGGGGCTGGCTGACTGGCTGGTTAGCTGGCTGCTTGCCTGCCTCAGCCGTGCGAGTAAGGCTACACGGCAGGTAGGTATGTTAGAGGTGATGAATGGCCGGGTGGTTGGGGGCACTCAGGGTTGGAGGTTGGTGGCCCGCCGCACGCCCGCCGCATCTCCCCGTTTTGTGGCACGGGCAAAGACAAGAAAACAACAAACAAACAAGTGGCGGCGCCCTGTACGACGGTAGGTCTGCTACGTCGTTAGCCCGTTGACGAGTCGGTTAGTCGGTCGGTCGGTCGGACGGCCGGTTGGTTTGTGTGTATGTACAGAGTTGTGTTAGACGAGGCGGCGGGCAGCCGGAGGGACATAAGGCGACCTCACATCAGCCCCGAGGGGTTGGGTTGGGTTGTGAGATGGGAGATGGGATCATTGGGGGCCAGGCGGGATAGGTATCCTGCCGATGGAGACGAGCAGGTTCTGATCTGTGATCGACGAAACACAGGCGCGCACAATGTGTCCAGCTGAGGGGGTTGGCCTACAGTCCATGGCCTCCCCGCCGCTTGAGCTTGGGTTTGGGGTGTGTGTTGCTCGCTCGCCCGCTCGCTCGCCCGGCCCCCGGGGCAACGAACGGGCGCGGGCAGGCGAACTGCGGCCGCCCGCCGTGGCCGGCCGTCTCACTGTGGGCCCTTCATGTTGGCTACTGGCCGGCCGTCCGGTATTGCTGACTGGGTTGTGAGATGCCTAATCCGTGTTTATGTGAGTGTGTTGTACGGGGAAGAGTGAGAGATATCGGTCGTTCATCGTACGGCAGATGCTGCGCGGGCCGCTTAACTGACAGCTTGAGGATATGGATATCATCAATCACCCAATCGCTCTCACTCGCAACACTCGCGCCAGTCCTGTGCCACACACAAGCTGCTAGTTATGGGATGTTGTCATGGCTTTACATGCGCATGCATGTATGTAACATATCACGTAAAGTGAAGATATATTTGTATGCACCTGCGTGAGAGTAGAATGTAGACTTGACAGGAATTGAACTAGGATTAATAGGAATGTTCGAGTTTTAGTACTTGTCTGAATATTTGGGATGCAGTAATTCATACCTGGGAGTTCCAGGGCGCGTCTCGTGTTAGTCTGGGGCCAATATCGTGTGTTGCCGACTGTACTATAGGTATGTCACAAAAGGAAAAGTATTGGTCGTAAATGTTACCAGTTCTGGCTTCCATTACATGTGGGTTAGGGTACACTCGATTCAACTCAATCACGTCAACGTATGTGCTTTTGAATGTCCTTCTCGTATGGCATCTATCCGTTGTTGTCTCCCATATTCACCTGTGACATGTAATTTCAAGCTTCCTAGGCACCTATCTGTTTATTAGTTATTGTTTTAATTGTTGATTGATAACATAAGCAAGAGTCATGAAATTAGTTATGTCTTAATGAATGCTACCACGTTTCCCATAAGAGCGACGGCAAACCCACTAATAGTAGGTATCTTGGACCGGGCTAGACCTGATGGTCATTGAATCAGAGATTGGATAATATCAAGCAATTACCTCGCTACTATCCGAAAGAAAGATAAGATGACCAAAAGCTCGCAATGGAAACAGGGATTAGCATTGCGTGCCTTGTTGCCACGAGCCACGCCACGGGAGTTATTGAGCGGAGAATCCTATCCTTAGCGCTACGGAGTAGTTAAGTCGATCCCAAAGATTGCTCCAAGCTCGCCTGTGATTTTGTGGCTTGAGTTTGAGTGGTTCCACAGCCATGGTGTCAGCTTGTCAGGGTGACCCACCCCCGTTTCCACCAATTTCGATGACCGCCTTGGCATTTCACGGTTGACGATACACAGGAGTTACCATCGGCAAGCAATTCATGTTGATGGGCAGATGGGGTCAGATCGATCTTTCTTGTGTGGCTCGGAGCATTGCCCGCGAGCCCGCCTGCTTCGCGTCCCTCGCATGCTTCGTCAACGGCGGCTGGGCGGGCAGGGCAGGTGGGTGATGGGCAGTGATGGGATTGATCAAAAGCATCCAGGTTTTGCATCGCTTGGATCGGTTTGCCCCGCCACCATGCAGGTTTCGTTGCACTGCTGACTGCCGTACTTTTTCCAGATTATTCGTGCTGGTGTGAGGGTTGCCTCAAGGAACACGGGCCCCAAAAGCGGGTTCCAGGCGGGTTCCAGACGGACAGGCCTTGCCTCCCCCCTCCCATCCACAGCGGCTCAGCGGTTCCCTCGCGCTCTCGTCACCACCCACCGTTTTCCTCCCGAGGTCGGCTGCGATCAGCCGGCCCACTTCCTGCGCCGATGCATGCAATTGCAGAAACAAACAGCTCATGGGTGCGCCTGATGAATCACCTCCCAGACCCGAGGTGTGGCAGCCCATCCATGCAGTCTCTGATCTCTGACAAGCCGCGCGAGGGTCTGGCTCAAACATCCACAACACCAGAAAGTCAGTCGGTTTCGGACTCTGCACCCCGGCCGCTGGACCGTGTCCTGTCAACAACACAACGAGAGCCATGCGGGACTTTGTACATAACTAACAAACTACCGGGAACCCTGGGACCCTGGAGCCTCCTCGCCCGTCGTGCCACATACTGCGGTACACATTCACATAACTCCAACAAGAGCGGGTCTTCGTCCGAGTGAAAGAAATCACAGAACCCCCCGGAAGCCGGCTTGTGGACCGGAAAAGTGTACATACGTGGACGAAGTGGACACACACCCGACTCACGAACCTCGCCCCTCCCGCCATCAGTCATTATGCCCGCCCCCGATCATGTTTCGCCGGCTCCAGCCGTTGCCCGTCGCTTCAATGAGCACTTCGGCTTTGCCAGTGCTTGCCATGCTTGCCAAACAGCAGTGATGGCAAAGGAGCTGGCCTGCCTGTCACGGGGCCTCGCTTGCATTTGCCCGACATCATCAGCCCACCCACACCACCGCTCTCTCCTTTGTGTCGCTGCTTGACTCACCCCTCCCGCCAGACCGAAGCAACCGAAGTCCTGCCCCCTGCTTGGCTAGAATCCCAACGGCATGTGGGGGGGAGGGGGGGCGTGTGAAGGGGGCAGTGACACGCAAGCCGCTCTGTGACTGGGCGGGGATGTGTCAACTTCGGGCCTAGTCTCGTAATCACACATTGTTCTGGCATTACTCTGGCCGTTCGTTAGCGCGAAGCCTGTTCTTGGCTGTCGGGGCCAGTCGCAGGGTCCCGCCACACCATCTGTTTACATCCACACCATGTTCCTTCCGAGCTAGCGCCGCGCACCCAAGATTAAGAATAGGATGGCGCATTGCGGTTCCCATGGTCTCAGCACAAGGGATGTGTTGGCCTGTGCCGGTGAAGCCAGGAAGGGGTACGTACCCCCCGGCCCGCCCACAGCGACGGCCACCCCTGCTCCCACCCCTGGGCAATGAAGAGGCGTCTGACATGGGCCTTTCGAAGCCAATCAAGCCACAGCAGGAGGGAAACCACGCAATTCGAGGTATCGGGCAAGGGGGGGGAGGAAGGCTCCTGGGAACGGGGCGGTGGTGGAGCTGGCCAGTCATGCCGTCGAGACATAACAACGATCTTCCAGCCTGCATCACTGACGCCTCACTCCCATCGCCGACCGCCCTTTTTCTGACACTCCTTCAAAACCGTCCTTTTCCCTCTTCTCTCTTGGGCCTTTTATCGCATCTGGTCTTCCTTCTCGCCAGTTGCTTGTGGGAACCCTACCACATCAAAGAAGTCGTCGCCCCCTTACCGCTTCACCACAACACACACCGCCTCTAATCAGCTGTGGAACCCCCGCTCTCTCGCCGTTGACACCCAACCATACCGTCTCACCAAAGCTGGCTTGACCCGTTCACTCGAGGTCAACTTTTGCGAACCTAGGACTCGGACCCGCCCCTATCAAGAGGAGACTCTTCTCACAGCCCAGGAACTTCCGAGCCCAGCCCAGCCCAGAGGGACAAAGGACTAAACCGGCCCTTTTTTGGTTTTCGAGGACATTGCCAATCCATCGGGTCTCTGCCAAGGATCCGTTTCCTGCTTTTCGTCTGCTTCCGTTTCCTCTTGTCTCTATCTAGTTTCTTTCTCTCTCTCCGCCCCCTTCTGGAACCCGGAACTTCCAATCCCAAACCCAAGGAATCCATCGACAGGAAGAAAGCAAAGGGCTAGATCATGCAGCATGTTCCAGTGTTCGGCTACCCCACTCCACCAGCCTCGCCAGCTTTCGGCCACCCCATCTCGACATATCGCTTCGCCCCGGCGGCCCCTGAGGAGAGGTTAGGAAGATTCATCACCAGCTCGCTCCAGCTGACGGGCATCGTGGGCACTGGCGCGTACGGCGTGGTCTACTCGGCCGTCGACACCAAGTCCAACGTGCGCTATGCCGTCAAGTGCCTGAGCAAGTTCAACCCGGACGGGACACCACTGGACCGCCGCCAAGTCACCTTCCAGACCCAGGAGATCAAGCTGCACTACACCGCGTCCAGTCACCGCAATGTGGTCTCTATCCTGAAGATCATCGACTACCCGGACTGCATTTACGTTATCTTGGAGTACTGCCCCGAAGGTGACTTGTTTTATAACATCACCGAGCTCGGGCAGTATGTGGGTAAGGACGAGCTGGCCAAGAAGGTCTTCCTCCAGATCCTGGATGCCGTGGGACACTGTCACAGCCTGGGCATCTACCACCGGGACCTGAAGCCGGAGAATGTGCTCGTCTCGGACCAGGGCGAGACTGTCAAGCTGGCAGACTTCGGCCTTGCTACGTCCTCTGAGCGATCCGAAGAGTACGGTTGCGGCTCCACTTTTTACATGTCTCCAGGTAGGTCTTTCATCAACATCTGCTGCGCTCATCTTCTCTCAACCCCCTCCCTCCTTTTCTTTCCTATCCGGCCCCCCAGGAGAAATCAACCCATGCGACTTGCATTTCCTTTCTTTCCCCCTTCGACACCAACTGACTCTTCCTCTTTTTCCTCTCTTTTAGAATGTCTGGACCCCTCATCAAGGAGGCCGTTTTACTACTGCGCACCAAACGATGTTTGGAGCTTGGGAGTCATCCTGGTGAACCTCACCTGTGGACGCAACCCATGGAAGCAGGCATCCTACGAGGACTCCACTTATGGTGCTTACACCAAAAGCCGGGACTTCTTGAAGACCATCCTCCCAGTGTCGGATGAACTGAACGACATACTGGGAAGGATCTTTACCCGGAACCCGGATGAGAGGATCACGCTTCCTGAGCTGCGCGCTCGGATCTCTGCCTGCTCCCGCTTCACCGAAAACTCGACAGCTCAGCTGCCGACGCCGCCTGCATCGCCGGGCCACACCACTTACGTTTGCGAGGAATCTACCATGGACGACGAGTACGACTACGAGCACGATGCGCCACTCTCGCCCACCTCCTCGGATGGGGACTCGTACTCGTCCGACGAAGAAGGATCCCTCACCTCGACCTGCCCCAGCGTCGACGACCTAGAAGAGGACGACTTGTTTGAGGACGTGCCGGAGGCCAAGACGCCCCCACCCCAGGCACAAGCACCACCGGTAGAGCCGGCCATCTACGAAGCTGAGGAGCCGAGGATGATGCCGTTCCAGCAGCACCATCAACTCCCGCCGCAGGAGTACATGCACCCCTACCACCCCATGGCCGGCCCGCACCCAGCCCAAGGCATGCCCATGCCCGCCCAGGCCTGCGCACCGCCCTCCAAGTTCCCGCTGCATCAATATGTCTGCGACGTCTTGAGGTATGCGCAGCCGACGCCGCTGATGCCACAGCTACACCATCCGGTTCCGTTTCACCAGCAGGTGCTTCCGCTGTTCCACATGCAGGGGTGCTACTAAGCTCTCTCAAGCTTTTCTCCATTCTTCCCCCCAAGATGATGGGCAGCGCTCCTCTTTTGTTGAACCATGCACTCAACCCTGGATTGCCCGCCGTCCTGTTCCGGGGATGGAATGTCCGCGCCGGTCGCTGGATCACCACGACCGCCGACAAACAACCACAATCAATCACACGTCGGCCGTGTTGGATCACCCATTTTTTAATCAACGGAAGTCCTCACAACCCAAGCCCAAAAAGGCCACGACGAAGAAACGTTTCACCTTTTTGACTCCCCAAGGCGGGACGTCATTGCAACAAAACCAAAGTATGGATTTAATGCTGCGCAAGGTTCTGTTTTATTCCCATCCGCCACCCGAGGAACCCCCAACGCGGAGCCATCTGGATCACGCCACGGTCCCCGGAGGACGGATCTTCTCTTGTCCATATTTTTAAAAACAAGTTCTGTATTTTTTTTATTCTATTTCTTTTGTTTCTTCCCTTTGTTACGCCAAGGCGCTCGGGATGGTTTGGGAGCATATCTTCGGCGCTTGGGGGGGGGGATAGGTTGGGGGGAGGCGAAATACAGGAGTTTCCTGGACCAGGGTCGGTTGCGTCGTCGTTTCTTTCGCAGCTCAACATCTTTTTTTAATACCCCCGGTCTGGTGTTGTTTTTGGTTGGGAGGGCGGCGGAAAATGTGGGACATGGGATATGAAGATGAACATTTACTTGTTAGACATTATCCCTGGGTCAATAACCCATTGCGAGCGTGGGCGCACTGTCGCCGGCCGCAAGAACTGATTACGTTTTTTCCGGACAGGAAAGAGGGCGGTAGCCTGAACCTCGATAGATCTTTCCCCCTAACCTTTATGGGTGGGAAGCTGTTGATGGGATAACTAGCTAGATCACTGGGTAATACCTGACTGGCAAGACAAATACAATACGATGGAATGCTCGCAAGAGAGACATACATATCACGATGGACTTGACTCAGTTTCACACTTGACTTGGGTGGTGGTGACACAGCAAACCAGTCCGGCCTCTTTCTCGGGACTTTTGGGAATGATGATGTGATCCAAACCCGCCGAGTCTAGACTCGGTCGAGTTAACTCGCTTTGATGCCAACCCGCCGTCGCCGCCGCCAACGCCATGTCCATGGGGCGGGCCAGAGTCAGCCAAAACGGCAAATCGTCAACAACAAAGGGGAAAAGGAACCCGTTCCCGGCCCTCCACGTGACGGATCCGCCATGCTGATGATGGGCTTGGCCCCGGAATCATTGAAGGAAGCGGCCCCGTTCTTCTCGCGGATCCCAATGCTTGCTTGCTTGCCCCTGTCTGCCTGCTTGCCAACTTGCTTGCTCGTTCTTCTGGATCGCCCAATCCTTCCTTTGCCACTCCTGGCGCTAAGACCAACGATGCGCAGTAACACTGCAACTTACTCACATTCCAGCGAAAGCGAGTCCAACTGTGACCTCACCCATCCTGCCAAGGAAAGGGGGCTGGGCTGGGGTTGGGAAACCCGGCATCATCGAAAGTGCCATTCTGGAAATCTGGAAATTAAAAAAAAAAAAAAAAAAAAAATCCCCACCACCACCACCACCACCGCCTGCCTGCCTATCCATTCATCCCCAGCAAGGCTTCACGCTCCCTCACACGCGCTTGGAGCAGTGTGTGAGTGACATCCTCGGAATTGACGTGCAGCTCCCCAACCCACCCCACCACCACTCACCACCAACCAACCAACCAACCAACCAACCCCTGCCCCCGCTTCTCCCTTCGCGCCGCAGTCGTGCGTTGCGAAACCTCCCCCCGGCCCTGCCACCGCCCGTTGCCGTTGCGTTGGTTTGGGTGAGTGGGACAGTGCAGTGATGGTGTGGTTGCCCAAAGCCGCAGTGTTGCCCCGTTTTCATCCCCAACCAACCAACCACCGCATCCCGTTCCCTCATTCTGTTCTCCGCCCGCCCTGCGTGCGTGCCTGCCTGTCTGCGAGGGGGGAAGGGGAGGGGTGGGAGGGGTTTGGTGGTTGGTCTTTGGTGATTGGTTACTGGGGAGCGGCGCCACGTCGCCTCGCTTTTTGGTGGTGGTGGTTTTTTTTTTTCTTATTTATTTATTATTTGCGGTGGTGGTGACTGACTTGCGGCTGTTGTGTTTCGCGATTTGATATGCATGCAGCCCTACTTTCAATGCTTGACGGCTTGAGCGGGGGTTGGGGTGTGCCCCGTGCTTAGCCCTGCCCGCCCGTTGGTGAATGATACACAGTATTGCTTCTTGTGAATGGGAGCCAACGACTGAGTATGCTACTGGAACTGTGAATGTCTCACTTGTTGGGCGATGGTCGGTTTTCTTGGGAGTGTGGATTTACGCTAGCTTGGCGTTTGGCGTTTTGTTTATTGTGACTACTCTGTTGACTGGGACTCTTGGCTAGCTCGGCTCTTCTCCTCGTTCGTCTCATTCATCAAAAGTCTCATGTTTCGTCTTCATGGAACGCAAGATTGCAAGGTGACTTTGCATTCGCAGTCAGCCTGGAACGAAGGCGGGTTGCAGCGCATGGAATGGACGTGCGTCTCTCGAATATCGAGGCCCTGGTTGGCCCTTCGGAGAGTGAATGTGGGGGACGCTGCGGGCCAAACCAGAAACGAGGGAAATGTGAGGCTTGCATGCAGGCATCCCTTTGATTGGCACGCACGGACATTATTTACTCTCCAAGCTTTCCTTCTCCAAACCGGTTGTGCCCAGCCGCCGTTGTGCCGGTGAACGCGGGGCGGCGGCGTGTCACATCACGTTTTCCATCGGAATTTGCTCTTGCTTTTTTTTTTTTCATCTTGTTTCTGCATTTCCCGCACATGATTCGATTCTTCGATCCCCATTCCCCCTCATCCCCCAATTTCTCCACCTGCAGTTGGGCGCCCGTCAGCCTCAAGTAATTGGCCCGTGCATAATATTGAATTTTAAGGCTTCCGCTCGTGTCTGTGCCTCCTCTGAAGTGAACACAGTCCTTCGTACACTAGCGCACTTGTAGTTAGAACTCTCTAGAACCCCGCTTTCGGTGGTTTCCTGATTTCTCCTCACCCCTCGCTCTCAGCCTAACAAGCTCAGAAACCTTGTTGCGTGAGAACAGCCACTTGCTTTTCAGCTGGTTCCCATTTCGGGCATGGAAACGGAAATGGTAACATGGCTCGAGCATGGGACGGACTTCGGAACTCGGCTTCTGGAAGCCTCTTTGACTCCCTGATGATGAATTCACGACCGGATTCTTTGCTGCTTCCGACTCATCTGACTTCCAGGCCCTGCGAGTCATCGCCAGATCCGCAATCAGACGTTTCCTCCTTTGTCATCGGGGTGTTGCCTCTTTCACCTTGACAATATCACATCGGCCGATTCCTCGGCCATTTCGTCCGGAAGTATGTACGAAGTACTCGCACTTGATAAGAGTCAGGCTTGGTTCTGCACCGTGTTTGCCCGGGTTGCCTCCCTCTGCCGTGCCCCAGCCGCTCTCGGGCTCGTCACCAAAGAGGCGGAGGCCGGCAGATCTCGGGGTCGAGTCCGGGCGAGTTTGCTCACTCTTTGTCCATAACCACCATCACTCCCGGACCGATGACCCAGTTTGCCCATGTGATCAGCAGAGGGTGGCGCCGGTACTCTGGGAGGCCACCTCGGACGGCCCGGTTCCTGTCCCTCGGTGACGGTCTAGCCTCGCGAAGCCGGGATCGAGAGCCAGGCAGAGGAGCAGAGTCTTCGTCTGTGCCCGCCGCTCGCCGTGATGGATGATGGCGTTCCCGACGATGGCACCCTTTGTCGGCACACCCATTGGCCTGGCCGGAAATGGATGACGCACCTTTTCCTGCCCTCGTCGCCCGACTGCTGATCGATCCTCCAGGTTCGCCATCCCTCGGCCGATGGCACCCTGTGGCGCGCGCGCCGACTCGTCGCCCGCATCATGGCGCCGCCGAGGATCTGCTTTGATGAGTGTGGTGGGTTGAGTGCCTTCGAGCCGGGCAGAACGACAGGACCGGATCGACCACCGCCCAAGGTGCCATGTTTCCAGGCTGACAGTCCCTCCATGGGCATCCCCACTGTTCCCCCAAGGCCCCCCAGGCCCTCCCCATCTTTGGACGATTGGCTCTCGGGCCCTGTCAGCCTGTCATTGATCTCGACGGTGGGCCCGATGCAGGTTGAGTGCTCTAAGTGCTTGCATTAGCGCTAGCTTGGGCCACGGCACCACCGCTCTGCCCAGCCTCGAAGAAGTCTGCATGTCTGCCTTCTTGCCCGAGCTCCTCGTCAACTCGTGTACTTGGTAATAGCGTAGTGGCCATAACCAACGGCCAGCTCCGTGCAAATACTCGTCATCGATATCCACTCGCCGACGGGTTCTGCGCCCCGGGATTAACCAGGCGGGTTTACCATGCGCTGAGTGGCGCCGGGGGTTATTTGGGCCACCAGGCCGCATGCCCCTCCCTACCCCGTCTTGCACGTCTCCCCAAGCCGCCTTCCTGTTGCCAGCTCTGGGCCCTCGATTGGATCTCGCTCGGAGCTGTGAAGGGACTCGGATCTGGCGGTGAAGGCGCAGATCCGGCCACTCAGAGGCCTGCTCCCGATCCCGGCCCATCTGGTTGGCCCACGGCAGAACAACGGAGATGGCCCAGACGTCCTGCCCCCCTCCCCACGATAGCGACTTCGTCGTATGGGGTTGAGTGACGGCGCGCGCGGTTGGAGGCCCGGCCCCGGCCGGCTGTGTTGTCTTGGGGGGAGTGCGTGGTTTCCTCCCCCAATCTCCCATCTGCCGAATCGGCCGTTGCGATTGTGATCCCAAAAGCATAATAATAAACAAGGCGGCCGCCAAGCTGCGGTGTGCTCCGCATTGCATGGTGTGTGATCGAGATTGCAGCTCACATGCCGTGGACGCTGATGGGCCCTTCCGGGGTTTCAGGGTTCCACGGGTCGTTCGAGAACTCAGCTACCGAGTCAGCAAGACGAGGTGTCAAGTAGCTGGCCAGAGCTCCTAGGTTCTCCGTGATTCCTTTTAGTAACGAGTACGTGTGCTCGAGTGTGATGCCGGTGCGGAGCCGCAGCCAGACATGGAACCCATGAGCAACTCGGCACAGACTTATGTTGCCGTGTCACATAGCTGTTGGATATTGCCCATATTCCTTGTCTATGGTCCCTGCCTGGCGGCTGTCTCGACTCCATAAGGGGTGGAGGAGTATGGGCCAGACTTCGCCTTCGGTTCGGACACCGGGTTAATGCTGTCTGGTCGGGCAATGCCGATGACTCGAGTAACTTTTGGGCGAAAACCCCAAGGTGTCGATCAAAGGTTTGAGGAATACCTGCCAGGGTCGATGTACACTAGCTCCATGGTACAAGCTCTAGTTAGCGAATCCGTAGTCGAAGTGAGAGTGCTCTTTGGGATGCCGGGATGCAATCGATTTATTGCAGTGATCAATGATGATATATTACTTAATGGGAGGTTACTTACCCAATTGGTCGTGGATCGTTGTTCCATATCAGTTGCGAGTGTGCCATTTGATGCCCGTGTATCGATTGCCTCTGAAGTTGATCTGTTTGACTTGAGAGTTTTGGTCGATTACGTCGGTAGGTAGGGTACATGGAACAAGGACAGAGAGAGGTGGTGGGTGGCAAATGGCTCAACTTGTGCCGCACTATCTTGTAGCAGCTAAGGTGATAAGCAATAAAGCAGTACATCAAATGATGGATGGGTTGACTTGACACCAGGAATATCACTGCTGGTTCGCGGGTCACCCCGTCGATTCATCTACCGGGTATCAGTTATCAACTGACCTCACTACAACATATTAACACTGAGCCACGTTAGATGAGCAGAATCTCTCCTTTTAAACAAGCGCGGCCATGTCTGAGCGCGCTACACCGAGGGCCCTCGCAGAAAGCCACATGGACGGTATTAGATGTATGCTATCATGCTAATTGTGCTGCCAGGCAGGCGTGGCTTAAAGCTTAGAGGCCAACCTGTCCAACGATACCTACCCAATATATTATCGATCTATTTTGACCGTGGTTGAGGGTTTCACCTCGCTGCGTGCCTGTTTCCTAGAAGGCTATCTTCACCTGTCCGAGACGCTTACGGAACTTTTTATGGAACGAGGACAAAGTCTGCTAATACTGGCAGCAGTAGTGGCAGAACAAATATTGGAAATAATGGCGATGGGGGATGGGAGGTTTTCAACCCTTCAAGGCCTTTGTGTGCGTAGCTATTAGTCGAGATAGTTCTACACCTTCCCTTCTTTGTTCATACACTTGACAGTGCGCTTCACTAGGTCTGAGCGGAGGGCCTGTGGTATTAGTGAAATAAGTAAAAGACTCCTAGACTGGGCATCTGCAACACAACCTCGTCGTCAACCCCCAAACATTGGGCGATGGGCGATGAGTGATGATGGCGTAGTGGCCATGATATCTCACTATTTTCCCGTAACCCAAATCTATCGCGTCCTTGTCTAAGTCTAGCCCATATCCAAGTAAGCCCATACGCCCAACAACGTAAACAACCCATTCCTCTCACCACCGTCCAGCCGCTTGAATAGAGACCGGGACACCCTCCCCTCTTAACACCTCCCTATCACAAACACCGCCCACCACCTATCACCCGTCCCCATCCCCACCCCCATCCACCCCACCAACCCCTTACCCCCTACCCTCCTATTCACTCACTCCCTCCTCCCTCCCTTCTCACCCACCTCCCTCACCTACTCCACCACTCACGCACCAGCACCGGCCGTTGCGCCTCCAAAATCAATCTCAATCTCAATCTCAACCTCATCCTCATCCTCCACCGTCACCGCCCGCGGGTTGTTCTTCCTTGTGCTCGGTAGACTTGACGGGAGCTGGGTATACATGTCCCCGGCGGGTGCGTCACGGTGTCTAGAAGAAGAAGAAGAAGGTGAAAAAGAAGATGGGGCGTTGGCGGGGCACTTTGTGGGAGACTTGGTGGTGGTAGTCTTGGTGGTGGTGGTAAGTGTGGGTGTGGATGTTGAGGAGGCGAACTCGGTTGGTACAGTGCGTTGTAGGGTTTGGGGGGTGCTGGGGTGGGTTGGGGGTATGAAGAGGGGTGGGGGGGAGGGAGGGTTGGGGGTTTGCTCACCTGTTGCTGTGGGTTGGTGAGGTGGGTGAAGAAGCGGTTGAGGTTGGAGACTAGTCTGTTCCACTGGTTGTGGGCGGGTTGGTGAGAAGGGGGCTGGCTGGGGGGTGGTGGTGATGGGAACGCTTACAGTGGAGGAGAAGCCCATGTTGGGATGTTGGGAGGCGGTTTAATGGGGGTTGGTGATAGGTTTCGCTGGTGGTTATGCTCTGGTGGGTTTGGATGGGGTGAAGGTCTGCGAAGAGGTGAGTGACCAAACCTTTTAAGATTAAGACGACTCCATGACCACTCTCATGCAAACCGAAGACAAACTTCGAAAACCGTTCATTTCGAGCACGGGGTGGCTTGGTTCGGCCCGGAGAACGGCGAACTAGGGAGTCCCCCGTTCTTGTCGATTGTCTCGCCCAATTCAGAGGGTTCCCCGAACCAACAGCACCGCCGTAGCGCCGGTGATGGCCGGAAATCTTCCCTTTCTCTGCCGACACCGCTGGGCTGTGTTGCCCGGAGTAGGTTTGACCTACGCAATCCGCATCTGCATATAATACTGGCGACGTTTGACGCGTTGCCATCGGCCCGGTTGGTTGGCGCGTCACGCAATATTGAGCAACGGCGTCGGGACTCAGCCACCGGGATTGTAACGCAAACGGGACCTTGGGATCATTAGGTTACTGATAGGGGGATGCCTCTTGAGTCCCTGAACGGAATAATGAATGTTGCCTAGGGAGTCAGGTCATTTGTTTGGCCAAGGTCCGGGAGGGTTCAGGGTTTGCAGATATGTGGGTGGCAGAGCATGAACAACACAGCGAGGCAACCGCACGATGCAAGTGGGACAAGTTCTTTTTGGAAAAAGCGTTTTGGTCAGTCAATCAAGCCTTTGATACTCTGACGCGAGAAGCGCGAAAGGAGATACACAGTACAGGGGAGTAAGGGAACAGAAATAAGACAAGATTAACGAGAGGAAGAAAGGTTGTTTTTGCCTCAGCTCGCCCAGGGCCGAGCACCATCTCCTCTACCAGGATATCATCACTCTCCTCCCCATCCACCAACCACACCACCCCACCCGAAACGACGGCGTGAGCCACATGCCCGGGAGGCGGCCCCCAAGTTGACGACGCCAAATCAGGCCACGACAACACTCTAGTCGGAGGGCTTGATGGTGGTGAAGGTGCCATCGGGCGACTTGACGATGATGATGCCGCAGCTCTTGAGGAAGGCGGCCAGCTTCTCCATGATGATGGCCTCCTCGGGCGTGTGCTTGTCCTTGTGCATGAGGGTCTCGAGGGCGATCTGGGCGCCGTTGAGGTTGGGGCACTGAATGACGGAGCCGCCGTCGCGCTTGCCCGGTGTGAAGGTTGAGCCGGTGCCGGGGGGCGCCGAGATGTTGGTGATGCCGGCCAGGTAGTACAGGGCGCCCTTGATGGCTTCGATGTCGTCGATGTCTTCGGCGGACTTGTTCCTCTTGTTCTGCAGCCGGATGAGCTCCCGCTCCAGGGTCTTGATGACCTCCTTCGTGTTGGTGAGGGCATCAGGCGGGAGGGTGAAGCTACGCTTGCCGGGAGTGAAGGTGGAGCCGGTTCCGGGGGGCGCCGAGATGTTGGTGATGCCGGCGAGGAACTTCAGGGCAGCCTTGATGGCGGCGATGTCGTCCCGGTCTTGTTGGGTCTTGTTCTTCTTGTTCTGCAGCCGGATGAGCTCCTTCTCGAGCGTGATGATGACCTTCTTGGGGTTTGTGGTGGCGTCGGGCGGGAGGACGAACCCGCGCTTCTTGGTGCTTGGCTCAATCCCGCCCACGATAGGCGGCAGCATGCATGGGGGCTGCTCGTTGAGGGGAACATCAGTCAAGCAGATGGGCACCTCGCCCTGGCCGGGAATGAAGACACCTGTGCCATCCCCAATGCTAATTTGCCGCTTCGCCTTCGTGCTCGGTACGATCGGGCCAACGATGGGTGGGAGGAGGCAGGGAGGTTGCCCTTGGAGGGGCTGGTCGACCAGGCAAGGAGGCAGCTCACCCGGGCCGGGGATGAAGGTGCCGGACCCGGGTCCGATCCAGATTTGCCGCTTCCCAACTTCCCTCTTGGTGCTCGGGTTGATGGGGCCGACGATGGGAGGGAGGAGGCAGGGCGGCTGTCCTTGAAGGGGCTGGTCCGTTAGGCAGGGAGGCAGCTCACCCTGGCCGGGGATGAAGGTGCCGGACCCGGGCCCGATCCAGATTTGCCGCTCCTCGACGGTCTTCGCTGTGGGCAGGGCCTGGACGGCGCTGAGGCCGATGAGAGACAGAGCAAGTGTGGATCCAACCATGGTTGCGGTGTGGAATGCGTCTGCTCAGGGGTGATTTCGTGGTAGCGGTGGCCCGTGGTGGAATAATGGGGTCGGGTCTCTTGGGAATATCGGTGGGTTCCGTGTTGTTGATATAGACTTCGTCGTCTCTAACCACCTGTCATATGAACTGCAATCTGCTCCCATCGTTGCCATTGCCACTGGCTAGAATATTTATAGAAGTTAGCATTTTGGCATGGCGCATCCGCCGGCTCGCAACACGATAGCGTGAGAAATGGTGACATGGACCGGCCGCATCACGATGGTTTGTTTGGTGGCGACAATCTCTGTGCAATATGGAATAGATGAAAGCGCGAGGGCAAGACCCAGAGTTATGATATGGCTCGGCATATTTATCCGGGACCCTGACGGTGGCCGGCGGCCCCCTTCGGCCAGTCTCGGTGACGCCCAGAGTTTGACGGTTAGTAGGCGAGCCAAAACCAAGGTTGCACCCTCAGAATTGTGCCTATATCCGCAGCTCGAACCAGCCAGTTTGGGTCGACGGCGGTGCAGGGCCGCGATAAACCGAGTCCGCTGGAACTGAGGTGCGGAAATGTCATGTCTGGCTATTTTTGGACCAACGTGGTGTTTTGCATTTTGTCCCAGGTTCGCATTACCCATGGGGAATTAGGCCATTGCTCGTTCCCTGGTTCACGAACGAGCACGGATGCGCGGCGATATTGCTGCAGTTTGACGGAGAGCCAATATGGTTTGGCCCCATGGCTTGGATGCGATTCTGGAGTGGTATTCGAAGCTCGGCGCGGACTGCCATGGTCGTATTGGGGACAGCCTGGCCAGAGCTTGACAGCTTTAGCTTTGAAGCTCGCCGGAGTCGCGGCGCGACCGAAGTAAGTCTCGACTCGGCGAGATGTTGCCTTTGTCGTGAGTGGCCGCTGCGCGTTCTGGTACCAGCACTAGCCAGCACTTTATCCGGGTCCAGGTCCGCTCGCTATCCTTCTCTCCGCCTCTACTTTAGTTGACACTTATCGTACACGGTAGAGCGTCGTTGCGGTGCTTGGTGCTGCAGAGACATGCGAGGTTAGAAGAAAGCTCCAAGAATAGAAATAAAGTTGGTTGAGCATTTGGGTGACCCGGGTATCTGGGGTCTTGGGCATGGTGATAAGCGGTTCCAGTTCGATCCAGTTCCGGGAATGAGGACACAGACCCGCCGTGGACGGCTGGGCCTCGTCTGGGGCCACAACCCTATTCGGCATCTGCGGGAGATCTGTCAGGGACCCGGCGCAAGGTTGATGTTCGGCCCTTGTGCGGCTTCACTTGAAGGCTGCCCTTTATCTCTGCCGAATTGGTTGCACCGGGTCGGGTCTCAGGAATGTGCTCCGGCGGCAGGGGTTGTGATAACCCGATTGATCAAACCATCGGCCACGGAGTGAAAATTCCTTTGGAGTTGAATGAGGACACCATCGGCCATCGACTCACCCTGCAGCTCGACACGGCAAGTCTGCAACGGCGGAGGAGGAAGATCGCATTTGCATGTGAAAGGAAAATCCCGTCTTGGCCACGACAAAAATGGTAGATCTGGTCTTGACAACAGTTGACGCAGTCGATTGAGATATGAAGTGCCGATGAGATGGAAGGTAGAGTGAATGAGGCGATGATTATCGGGAGTTGGTTGGTGTTGAGGATTCTGGCACGGGGCACTGGCGCTGGCACTGGCGCTGGCACTGGCGGCAGACAACCCTAGCAGCAGATCTCAGACGGTGTCAGCTGTTGACAAGTGCATCCAACGTACCTCGGCCAAGCAGCGAAGTGGAAACCTCCATCCTGCTTGTGATGACAGGAATCCCAACAAAAAAAAAAAGGCAAAGGGGAAATCGCGCCGCAGGGAATGGGGATTGATCCTGCCGTTGTTGGGAAGCATAATCTGTAGGGGCGCAATAATCCACAAAAGCCCGGCGCGGAAGGTCAAGCACAGCAGGATTGATTCACCACCGAACACCAACACATCCAACGAGCCGAACACCGGCACAACGTAACAAGTAGAAGGAGGTGTTGCATTGCACATTCACTACGCTGCCATAAAACCAAAGGACTCTCCCGACCAATACTCACCCAACCCAGCATCCACCATGCCGCCAACCACCGGCAGCACCACCACCGCACCCCACCGCGGCCTCGACCCGGCATCCCGGGAGCTTTTGCAACGGCAGCGGCAACCCCCCAAACAACAAAAATAACAACCACCATCACGACCACCCCCCAACACAGAACCCCCCTCCACCACCACCGAAAAGCTCTAAACAGCGACACACGCCCTCTCCACCACGCTACAGCACCTCCTCCCCTGGGACGCGCTCCCCCCCTGGGGACGGGACAACCCCTCGATCCTGCACGGCTACCGCCCCACCTCGCACTCCCTCCTCCTCTCTTTCCGCAGCCTATTCTACCTGCACAACGAGAGCGTCAACATCTGGACGCACCTCCTCGGCGCGCTGACGGCCGCAGCCGCGGGAGCGTGGTTCTTTTGGGTGGGTAGCGTGCTGGGGCGGCGGTATGATACCGCTAGCGCGGCGGATGCGGTGGTGTGGGGGTGTTTTTTGGGCGGGGCGGTGGCTTGTCTGGGGATGAGTGCGGTGTATCATGCGCTGTGTAATCATAGTGAGGGGGTGGCGAGGTGGGGGAATAAGATGGATTATTCGGGGATTGTGTGTTTGATCGTGGGGAGTTTTGTGCCGGCGTTGTGGTATGGGTTTTTTTGTAGGCCGGCGTGGCTGACGGGGTATTTGGGCGCGGTGAGTTGTTTTCGGTTTCGGTTGCTCCCTCCCTCCCTCTTGCGGGTTTGGTGGTTTTCGTTTCTTGTGGGGTGATGTGCTGACGACGGGGTGGTAGATTGCGCTGCTTGGGTTGGGGTGCTTGGTGGTGTCGTGGTTTGAGCACTTCCGCACGCCGGCGTGGCGGCCGTATAGGGCGCTGATGTTTGTTGGGCTGGGGTCGTCGGGCGTCGTGCCCATCTTGCATGCCCTGAGCATCTACGGGTACAGGCAGCTTGATGAGAGGATGGGGCTCAGCTGGATCATCCTCGAGGGTAGCCTGTATATCTTTGGTGCCTTCTTGTATGGCGTGAGTATCTAGACGGTTGCTGATGAGCCGCGAGGTGCATGATTGCTAACGTGTGATGCATGTCCGTTTCCCAGAGCGAAAATACCCTGGCGCTTTTGACATATGGGGAAGCTCACACCAGATCTTCCACGTTTGTGTTTTGCTGGCGGCAGCCTCACACGTGTATGGCATGGCCAAGGCTTTTGACTATCACCACAGCGTCCTTGGGTCACAGTGTTGAATGGCTGGCAATAGAGACCGGTTTATAGAGGAATAGACGTACAAGATCTCCTGCGTTGACCCACGGGGTGTGTTTGATGTCCGCGATGATCATAAAGCTAGCAAGCTGGTTTGCTGATTTGCTGATTTGCTGTGCTGGAGATGCTGACCTCACGGCGGGAACATCCGGGGGCTATCACTCTACCCCGAGATCCATGACTTTGATCAGGCCCGAGGCCATGGCGCACGCCGCCCAGCAGCTAAACTGCACATTAGGGTTCCATAGAATAGTCGTCACGCGTGTTAGCGGCTCGTGGATGATTACCCGGGACGCGAGCTTCTCGTCAAGCTCGGCCTCGCGGTCTTCAGCCTCGTCACCAGCTTTCTTCTTACTAGCCTTTTTCTTTTTGGCCGCTCGTTTCTTCCTATCCATCTCTTTCCGCTTCTCGGTCCTCGGATCATCGTTCTCTTCAGGAAGAAAGCCTTGCAGGATCCTCGCCGCGCCCCTCAGCCCCGACGTCGCCAACCCACCGGGCTGGCCTTGACCCTCTTGGTCAATGGGCCTGTACTCGTGCTCAAAGATCTTAAGTTTGCGCAGGGGCTCGCCTTTTTGCTTGAATAGCTTCTGCAGCGCGTTGCACGAGAACACCGGACCCGTCCGCGCAGCCGACCAGGACAAAGGGGTGCGTCGCCCCCGACGATACGCAGGTGAGGGTGTTCGGCCCCGTGGTGATGCTGCGTGCTTGGCAGAAATAGCGGTAGTGGAGGAAGGCGATGGTGGTGTTGGGGGTCGACGACGGGTACAGCGCCATGAAGCCCCTGCATCGACTCGTTCCAGCAGAGCAGGTTTGGCTGGAAGCTGATGGCGGGCACGGGGAAGTAGGTGACCTCGGAGCTCGGCTGGGACAGGTCCGTGAGAGTGGCGCAGCCGCCCACAGGGATGGATGCGACGAGGTAGGGGTTCGAGGGGTAGGCCGAGCAGATGTCGATAACGTTGGTGGTGTGGGCGCCCACGCGCTGCAACAGCTGGCGCGGGTAAATGGACCACAGGGTGATGGAGCCGTCCGAGTGGCCCAGGGAGATGCGGTTCGTATTCACCCAGGTTAGGCAGGTGACGCTGACGTCGTAGTCTTCTGTCAGGCCAAGAGTTACCATGGGCGAGTCTACCCATTCTGTGCGGAAGTTAGCGGGGAACATTGGCCCGGCCGCATCGACGTACCGTAGAGGGGGGCGTCCTCATCACCGACGACCTTAGCGTCAATAACGCGAACGCTTCCGTCATCGTTGAGGAAAGCGAGCAACCCATAGAGATGAGAAGAGTCGAGCGGGACCGGGCAGAACGCAAGCCGTTTTGGTCGGCCCCAGTTAAAGCATTTGACACTGAGTAACCTCGGAGGCCGGGCCGAAGGGGAGGCGAGCTTCCCGGGAATCTTCTCGGGAACAAATTCCCAGAGTTGGATACACCCTGTCTGTCTCGAAGCCATCTCCTCGTCCAACTCCTCACGGGGAACTGGCTCCTGGTCGGAGAAGGGTATTGTCGCCACGGCAAGGACCTGGATATCCTCACGGGACAACGCTGCCCACGACATGGCGAGCGGAATGCCGCCCACGTTCAGCGTCCAGCCGCTTGGCGTCCTGTCATTTGAGGCGTCAGGGTCATCCACCGGCAGCCCCGACGGTGAAGTGGACAGACTCCCACCCTGGCCAATCCTCACCTCCTTTTGCCTGTCCCAGGGTCCAACGAGGGTGACAATATCACCCTCGACCTGAGGGACCAGACGCTGGCCCTCCTCGCGGGCGAGCACGCGGGACCGCTGAAGCTCGGGGGCACTGATCTGCACGTCGTCGTACCAATGGAAGGCCCTCTTTTCCTGGCCGCGCTCGTGGCCACTTGGCAACCAGGGGCTCGGCAGGACGCCGTGCTGGTGCTCGGGCGGCAGCCTCGGGGGCAGGACGGGGAAGTCGGCCCAGCGGATCTCGAGGTCCCAGATGACCTTGATGCGCGCGTACTCCGGGCCGTACATGGCATCGCGGAGGGCGCTGTAGCGGGCATAGCGGCGCAGTGGGCCGGCATAGACACGCGTCACAATGCGCGTCTCTAGGGGGTAGTGGGGGATGTCGTGGAAGGTTTTGCGGCTTTGGATCATGCCGGCCCCCGTGTTGCGCTGCTTCTTGGGCTGGCTTGAGTAGGTTTTTGCCTCGGTGGTGGAATCCCCCCCGGGGTCTGGAGCGGCATCGTCGTCATCACTTGTCGCATCACCGTCAGCATCTCTATCGTCGTCGTCCGCATGTTGCACCTCTAATTGATCATCGAAGACATCGTCATCCTTGGACTGGTCGTCAGAGCGAAAAATAGGTTCATCTTCATCGTCAAAGTGGTGGGTTCTTCCTCGACGTAGCGCTTTCTCACACCTCGGGTGCTACGAAGGCGCATCGTCTCGGGTTTGCTGGCGGGTTGATTTGCGCTAGGATCCTCGTCAGCATTGAGTGTTGAGAGTTGTCGTGATATGCGAGGGTTGACGGCAGCTGACTGGAGAGGGCTGTTTTGTGAGGGTTGACTTTCATGTCAGGGCTGAAGATGGCCCCACTATAACTGCCTGTTGCAGTTGATTCGAAGATTTGTGAATCTTGGATGCACTACTACATAATTAGGAGAGCTTGGCCCAAGAAGAAATCCACAGATTATGTTTCCAGCCCCTGTGCCTGTGAGTACGGAGGCTTGATGACGTGGGATGTGTTGATGGGGATGGGATTGGCGGCGGGTAACAGCCGCTGGAACTTGGCAATACAGGATAACTTTTAGGGCTGAAAACGTGGAATGCTGCTGTGTGGTGCAAACGCCTTGTCCGTCTTGGCGCGGCAACACCGCTTGTAAATTTTGCGGGCAGGTGCCCAGGCACCACCCTCTGGCCAAAAAAAAACCGAACTCGCAAAGGATGGATGGATGGAATTTATTTCGCCCGGAGGCACTGGGCCTATAGGGCCTTAGCACGCTAGCTACATCCGGATCAGATCGTTTTGCGTTTAACTCGTACAAGCCCCCTACTTCTTCCCTCTTTCTCGCTGCACCATTTACCTCTTGCCTTGGTTGTTGTTAGCAGATCAGCTTGGAGGCTACTTTCTCCAAGTGTTCAGCGTCCTATCTTCAGCAGCTAAAGCGGGACCTGCTGGTTAAGGCTCGTGGTTGAGGCTCGTGGTGTTGAGTGTCGGCTTCTTCTACTGTGACTGGTTTAGACTCTCCTCTTCATTCAGCTCCAGCCTTCCTGTTGCCATTGCGTATTTGATCGTCGCCCGGACTGCCTTCATATCTGGTGACCAATGCCTTGTATCTGATGGCGCTTTCCCTCCCAGATAGAACGAGAGGCTTCCTCGTCTTGCCACTGTGCATTGCAGCATGTCTTCCCTCAGAGCTGTCCATCTCACGCATCGGAAAAGAAAGTGTTCCACTGATTCCCTCGCTTGTCCACAGGCACAAAGGTCTGACTCGACCGCCCCAATCCTGCTCAAAAAACCGTTCAGTCTCGCCATTCCGGTTCGGAGCTGCGCCAATACGCAGGCCTCCCTTCGCTTCAGCTTGTCATAGAGATCGCGCGTGTGCTTGCCTGGTAGTGCTGCGTCCATGGCCTTTGAGAACTTGCCCACGCCTACAGGTAGAACTCTTGTCGCCCGTTGTCTTTCCATTGCCAGCCTCATCGCGGTAGACTTGGCCTGGGGTATTTGGGAGTCGGGTGTGCGTCCTTGCTTCGACGCTCTCTGGGCTGCTGCCTTGGCATCTGACCCCAGCGCGAAGTCAATCTCCGCTGGTATCCACAGAAAGTTGACCGAGTTCCCTCTTTGTCGGTGCAGCCTGGCCAAGTCGTAAATTTGCCGTATGATGCTTTGGCCGGATTGCTGCCGCGGCTGTCCAACTGCTGCCAGCGCTGACTGGTTCCTAGTGATCACGGTGATGCGCCTGTGGCAGATGCTAGCCGGTAACTTCTCCAGGGCCATTGCGATGGCTGCTAGCTCTGCTGTATATGGGTTCTGCTCTTCCCTTGTCCCAAGAACAACAGCATAGTTTGTCACAGTCTCGCTAGTTCTGTTGAAGAGAGTATCCCGTGCAAGGCCGCCCATGCCAACAATGCCCTTCTTTACGGATGAGCTGGTTGCGATCACGATTCCCGAGATTTTGTTGACCATCTCGGCCGCCTTCCCTCGATCGGCTTCGAGCGTCGGTCGTAGGCGAGGTACCCAGGGCGGGACGGCGTATTCCTGGATTGTCTCCATCCGGTCAACTCGTACTCCTTCGGCCACGCGGGCAATTTTCTGCAGCGGAGATACGAATCGTACGGTGGTCCGGACTTTCTTCATGGCAAGGGGATGCGTTCCGGGCAGCGTGTGGATGTTGATCCACAGACTTGCTGCCGCCTGGGCGTGTCGTTCTCGTACGGGGTAGATGCTCGCTTCAGCTTCCACCACGGCTGTTGCCGCGGTTCGAAAGGCTCCCGTGATGGCCAGGGCCCCGATCTTCTGCGCCCTGTTCAGCCAGCTCAGTGCTTTTTCCCCGCACGCATGCATCCAGACATTGGCAGCGTAGTCCATGACCGGGGCTACTGTCGCAACAAATAGCTGTCTCGCTGTCCGCGGGGAAAGCATCTTCAGCCTCTTCAGGGCCAGAGCGGCTGCGAGGCCCTTAGCTGCCGTCCTAGCAATGTGCTGCTTGTAGCGGAGTTCGCGATCCATCACGACACCTAGGATTTTCGCACTTTCCTTCGGTTTGACCACTTCGCCTTTGACCGAGAACGGTTGTTCTGAAAATCGCTCCATGTTCCTCGTGAAGTGTATGATGGCTGTCTTTTCGCCTTCAAACTGCGCACCGCTCCGTTTCTCCCAGTCAAGGGCTTTGTCGATGATAGCTTGGATTCCAGTGCGGTTCGACTCCGCTGACGGGCCCGTTACCCAGGCAGTGTAGTCGTCCACGAAGGCAATTGCGCCTCCGTTTGCGTCAATCTTGTGCTGCACTAGGTCGGCGTTGAAGAAGAGGAATAACACTGGAGACAGCGGCGATCCTTGCGGAAGACCCGCTTGGGGCAGCTCTTGCCGTCCAGATGTGAACCCGTTTACGGCAATGGTCGCTGTGCGCTTGGAGCAGAAGGCGTCGATCCACTTGACCAGGGATTCAGGTATCCCTCTTGCCTTGAGCCTCTGGAGAAGCCTGTCTTTGAAGACCCCATTGTATGCGCCCTTGACATCGAAGCTGATCAGACTGAGCACTTTCCTAGCTCTCCATGCTTTGTAGATGTGTTCCTGAAGCAGAAGGAGAGCCTGTTCGGTCGAGCGTCTCTTCCTGGCTCCGAAGTGGTTGGCGGGTAGAAGGCCGCAGGTCTCCACAGCATGGGATAAACGCTCCGCAATGACTGCCTCCAGTATCTTCCCTAGCGTGGAGAGCAGCGAGATGGGTCTCCAGGACTTGGCTAGAGTGTATTCGCTCTTCCCTGGCTTCTTCAATGGGATGATCTTGGCATTCCTCCACTGGCTGGGGATGTCGCCGTCTCGAAGCGACGTCCGGAATAAATGGAGCACCCTGTCTTTGACCACTGGCCAGAGCTGTCTCCATACCATTGCCGGTAGACCGTCTTCCCCGGGCGCCTTCCATGGCTTAGCGGACAGGACCTTTTGTTCTATCTCCTCCATTGTTAGGTCTGGCATGTGTACCGGCGCCCGTTGAGGTCGTTGGCCCTCGTCTTCGATTCTCGCTGGCAAAGGTGGGAAGAAGGCGGTGAGTAACTCCTGCGCTTGTTCTGCTTTACCCTCCGTGATGGAGCCATCGGGTCGGACGAGCGGGGGTATCTTATCGCCCATCGTGCCGCTGCCGGTTTGCAGATACTTCGTTGCTTGCCAGATGTTAGCGTCATCGGCCAGGAAGTCGTTCCAATGCGAACTCTTCTGTCTGCGGATGGCGTCGTGGTACTCTTTGGCTGCCATCCTGGCTCGTTGTTCGAGCTCTGGTGCTGTTTGCCCAATCCTACGTCGAGATCTCCCCTGGTTTCTCCAAAACGTGTATGTCTGGCGAAGCCGTGTCAGGTCTGTTGTCCACCACCGCTTGGCGTATGGTGAGGGCTTGGCTTTAGGTGTCAGGCCGTAGACCGCCTCGGTTACCGCTGCCATGAGCCTGTCCGTCTGCTGCTGGACATTGCCGTCCCAGGGGATGCGTTCGAGGTTTGCTGCCACCCTAGTCCTAATTTCCGCCCAGGGCGCGTTCTTGAAGAGGAACCTCGTCTCACTGGGACGGTCCTCCACCGTGGTGTCAAAAGCTGTCTCGATTGCTCTGTGGTCTGAGCCATGGTCGCAGGGGTGAATCGTGCATCTGAGTAGTTGGTCTGCTAGTTCTGCAGAGGCCAGTACCAGGTCGATTGTGCTCTCAATGTCGCCTGACTGCCACGTCTTCGTGCCTCTTGGGAGGAGGCTGCAGAGGGAGTGTTCGTCCATGAGGTTGATGATGCGGTCTCCCTCGCCTTGTCTCCGTGGTGAGACATCGTCCCCTCCCCAAAGCTGGTCGTGGCGGTTGAAATCGCCCGCCAGGATGATATCCGTTCTCGTCCCTGTTCCGTTTCGAAACCTCCTAATCAGTCGGTCAATTTCCCTCATTGCATCTTCCAGTGCTTCGTCACTACCACCCTCCACATACACTGACACCATCAGCACTGCCCGATCTGGGAGCCGAATGCGTGCTGCGGTGAGGTCTGCCGACGGCACTGGAATTTGCTCGACCTCTATATCGCTTCGTACCCATAGCATGCTCCGAATTGGCCACGTGGTTTCTCGTCTTGTCGTTGGTATAAGCTTCGTCCAGTTGTGATGACTCATTGGGACCGTCGTCACCGAGCCTTCGATCAGCCTGGCATATGGTTCGGAGATGGCCAGCACTGCGAAGTCCTTGAGTCCCTCGTCGTTTAGCAGACTCTGCTGCACTTCTCTCCGTTTGCGGACGTTGAGCTGAAGGATCTTAAGCGTCTTGGGCCCCATTGTTCAACCAGCGTACCCGACAGTTCTTGCTAAATGACTCGTGTGGTCCTCTGCATAGCACGCACTTCAGGACCACGGACTGACACGTCTTGTGGTGGTGACCCTGTTCCGCACACCTTCCGCATCTTTGCGGCTTTTTGCAGGCGAAGGCCTTATGGCCGATCTCCTGGCATCTGTAGCACTGGATTGGGCCTTCCCGGGGCGCGAAAACGGTCGTGTAAGCGGATTCTCCGGCGAGATGGAAGTAACGCCCGTCTAGAAGTCGCCTTGCTTCGCTGCCCTTCGTCACGTAGACAACCATCGAGCCGTAGGCCTTGCTTGTATCCTTCCTGCTGAGCCAGGCAATCTTCGCAATGTTGACGTCGTTCTCTGTCCCTAGCGCCTCTGCGGCTCCCGGCAGGATGTTTCCGTCCGCATCGAGGACCGCTGTTCGGTTGGCATTGTCTACCCTCACCGGGTACAACTGGTCTCTCAATACCCGCACTCCAGGAACACTGATCTTCACTGCCGCTTCCTTGACGAGCTGGACCTCGCCTTCGTCCCTGCAAATTACTCTGACTCGGTCCGGGTTTCGGGCCTCCTTCACAACCGCAGCGCAACGCCAGTCTCCCATGCTTTCCTGTGCCCTGGCCTCTGTCTCGATTGCCTTTCTAATGTCCGCCACCTGGACGTTTCCCTTCTCTTTCTCCTCCACCCTAGATGTATCGATCGTACAGAACAACGTGTCGGTAAAGGATGAAGGCGTCGTGTTTCGCGAGGAGAGGGTGCGCACACCGCTTGGCTGGCTTGATGGTGGGGTGCGAGCGACTTCGGCGTATGACCCTCTTGCGCTTGGTTGGGACGAAGCCATGGCTACCGGGTGGCGTTGAAGGGTATCAATCTGATCCCGCGCTTGTCTCAGTTCTTCAGAAAGCTGGGTCCTGGTGTCTGCAAGTTGGCGATGTAGTTCTTGAATCGCGTCGTGCTGCTTGCAAATCACCTCGCGTAGTTCGCCAATCGTGTTTCGCTGCTCGGTAATCATTCGGTACATTTCGTCTCGTTGTTCGTTGATCGCCTCCAGGAGCATCTGTATACCTGACTTCCCCGTCTCGATCCGGCTGTTGGCTCCATATAAAATCCCAGACGCGCGTGCTCCTCGCGTCGTAACCGCCCGCGTGGTCTCGCTCGCCGCTCTCCTCGACGTGGTAGCCACGTCCTCGAGCGATTGCATGGCTTCGCGAGCTTTCGCGCTCGGTTTCAACGCGCGGCTCGGTCGTCTCGGCGAAGGTGGTTGGTCGGCCACCTCGACCACGATTTGGGGCTGCGCCTCCGCCGCCATCTTGCAGTCCCTCGGCAGTGCCGCCCGACTTTCACAAAAGCTTCCTGGTCTCGATCGCCTCTCGCCGATGAACCTCTCCCTTATTTTTCGAATGCTCGTTCCACCAACTCGCAAAGGACCTAAGCAGTCGGCACCCACACTTGGAGTTTGGCTTTTTTTGCCCCCGGGGTGCCAGTCAGTCGGAGCTTGCTTCAAACCACTACAACAGGTCGTAATTGAAGCTATTTACATCGCGATAGCGGTAAGTTTATCACCTTCGGCCATTCCTCCTTGCCTTCTCTCTTTTCGGTTTTTTTTTCCCTTTACTACTCTCTTCTGAATCCTGATTCTCACCTCTTCTACTCTTCTATCCTTCTCATAGGCTTCTTCTGTGTACATGTGCAGAGCCCTGGCCCCGCCCCTTAAGCAGCAACTGGAATCGACCAGTGCTAGACTGAGATGCGGGATAGTTTCCCTGACACGGAATCAACGGACATGCTTTTTTCCCTGAACTCTTGCCAACTCTGCAGGTCTTCCTTTGTCTCGGTGAGCCGCTTCACCTCCTTGGCTTCCGGGCCGCGCGACACCTCGATGCGGCCGATTGCGGCGTCAAGTAGCATTGTGCCTTCGTGGGTGCGGTCCTGCATGTACAAGCGCCGCACGAGGTTGGCTATGCTCTCGTAAAACGCCTCCCCGGACCTGCTATCGAGGTTTTTGATGACCTCCCGCAGCATGCTCTGCCGTGTTTCCTCGTCCTGATCTCGTGCCTCCAGAAAATCCTCGGCGAGTCCTGGAGGCTCTAGGCTTGGAAGAGGTATCTCGTTGGCAATTAGCTCCATGCCCCTATCCAGGGCGGCCTGTCCTTCCTCTTCTCTGCCCTGGCCGCGAAGCCATCTGAAGCGAGTTATATGAAACGGATCACACGCATAGTCTGGGAACACGCGGCAAGTCTCGGGGACGCTTTCAACCGCTTCGACGATTCGGCGGAGCAACTCGTCGACTTCTTCTCCTTTTTTGCCTCGTACCCCCGACGACATCTCGCTGCCCATGACGCGGATGGCGGTGCGGATGGGGCCATTTCCGTTTTTGTTGACCCAGTACTCTCGGATTAACTTGACGGCGAGGTCGCCAGCCTCCTGGAACATGTCGGCCTGCATCATGGCATTTACGTGGCGAACCAAGTACCCGAGTGTTCTGTCGTCTCCCTCAACATATACCTTGTTTATTTGCTCCATCATGGTTCGGATCTCCTTCTCGCCCTCGGCAAAGCGTCCTCGTTTCTGAAGCACCAATGCGTGGACCGACATGCTGCGGTAGACGGCGTCCAAGCCAACATATGAGACTTTGGCGGCCCGTTCGCATATGTCTTCGCACAAAGTCGTCGCCTCATCGTACTTCTCCTGCTCATACAAATACTCCGCCCTGTTTGCCAGGCACCTAAGCGTCACGCTGTGGTGAGGTCCCATCGCCTTGTCGGCCACGGCGATCATTCGGTCGAGCAGCTTCCCGTCGGCGTCAACGCTGCCGGCCTTGGCGCGCCACATACGGTCGGCGAGTATCACCCAGACGTGCGCCCCAAATGCGTCGTCGGGCCCGGGCTCATCCTTAAGGAGCGGCTCGATGTGGATGCCGAGGCTGCTGTCGGGGCCCTCCCGGCAGACGGTCATGGCGAGCATAGAGCGCTTCTTCCACTGGGTTAATTGGCCAGCCCGCGTCAGCCACATGTGGGTGCAGGTCCGCACCAGGGGGTGCATCTTGAGCACGCCCTCGACGGTGCTCGGAGTCACTAAAGAGTAGCCCATCAAGGTCTCAAGATCCGTTGCTAGTTTCTCGTCCGTGCTAGCGTCGGTAGTGTCATTGGCGCTGTCGCTGTCGTCGTCGTTGTATGTTTGTGCGTGGCCAAGTAAGGTGAAGGGAAACACGATGCCTTTGGCCTCGACTTTGGCCAGCCGCTTGTTCTCCGCTGCCACTGCGAACGCGCCTAGTGGCAACTGAAACTTCCCGTGGTATTTGGCGCCAGGCTCCATCTTGACCCACTCAGCCCACAGGCGCGAGTTGTAGTCGGGAACCATGTTCCAGTGGTTGGTGCCCTTGTGCCACACTTCCCAGCTCTTTGCTTTTACCCTCGTCAGGGACAACGCGTCGCTGTACTTTGCCGCCGGCAGACTTCGAGCGTTATAGTTGTATGCGCTCTTGAGAAACCGCACCGGGATGGATCGGGGGTCGAAGAAGCTCATCAGCGATAAGAGCTCGGTTGCCCGGGGCTGCTCGCGCTGGATCTTGTCCAGCGTCGCCATCCACGTGGTCAGGATGGCGTTGGATGCCCCTGCGTAGCGCCGGCGCTCTTGGTACTCGGAGCTTAGCAGCTTCATGCTCTTTTGCACATCCCCGCCGCGCAACGTGTCGGCGTAGCCCCCGACCGATATCCGAGCGGCGGGGCGGTTGATGTGGGCTGTGGCCTGGGAGATGGCCAAGGGTACACAGCCGAGCAGGTTGACAAGCTCCCGGGCCTCCCTCTCTACAAAGGCGTTCCTGTTGGAGATTTTGCTTTGGAAGAGCTCCAGGGCCTCCTCCTCGCCCATAGGAGGCACCTGGCGCAGGTTCTCAAAGGAGCTCCCGGTCAGCTTATCAGCGGCCGTCGAGGTGCGGGACGTTATGAGAACAAAGCCGTGGCTCGTTTGTGGCAGCAGTTGCGTCAGGTGTGGGTCGTCGGCGGGGAGGATCGAGGCATCGTCAAAGTTGTCCAGAATAACGGTCCACCGGCCATTTTCCTCGCGGCCGAGCCAGTTTCCGATCTTGCGAAGGGTGTCAGTGGTCAACTTCCCCCAGCCGGACGTGGTGAGACCCAGTCTCTCGGCGATATCATGGCACGATGACTCGAGTGTCTTCCACGTGCTTGCGTTGACCCAGAAAACATGAGACTTGTTGCGGATCGCGTGGGCAAATTGGATGGCGAGCTGGGACTTCCCGATACCCCCAAGGCCAACCAAGGCCACCCGTTCTCCCCCTCGCCGTGACATATCGCTCAGCCACGTGAAGATGTCCGACCCCCCAACAAAGTGTGGATCCGGCATGAAGGGCAAGATGGACTTAGGCCGGGAGGTATCTATAGCCCTGCGTATCGCCTTGTCCGTTGGCGTATGCAGCATGGCAATACCCTTCGCCGCCGCAGCCGCTGTTGCGGCTGCATAGGTTTGCCAGCTCTTGTTTTTGTGACTGTCGGCGTAGTCACACACTGCCTTGACAACAAGACAGGGCACCTGCTCCCAAATGCCGGCTGCCTCCATCTCAAAGGCGATGACATTCTCCCGCTTGGCGATGGTATCCCGCCCAACCCCCGACTTCATGACTGTGTCGCCTGTAGCAACCTCGCCAACATAAATGGCCGGCTGAAACACATCATCGTCTGGCTCCGCGCCAGAAGCAGCAGCTTCCAGTCGTGCCGCGACCCGCTCCCTCTCGATCAAGTAGCTGTCATCACATCCCAGCTTGTCGCAAGCGCTTTCCATAGCCTCCTTACACACCTGGTCCGAGTCCTCGTCGTGCGGCTGACATTTACAGTCGTTTTCGATATGGTGTATGTGGCGGTAGTGAGACTGGAATAGCCTGTCGGACGCCGGATCGGGAAACGCAAACTTTGTGTGGTGTACCTGTATCGCCTTCAGGAAAGTCGCCGTCCTCTCCCGCAACCTCTCTCTCCCAAACTCCATGCTCAGGTGAGAGAGGACGCTTGCATTCTCTTTGACGGGGGCGCTCAGGCTGTTCTGCGGACTGCTCTTTCGCTCGAACCCGTGGGGATATTGTCCTTCCGAAGTCATACTGCACCACCGAACTGCTGACGACGACGTCGCTCAGCAGATCTCCTGTCGCCGACCTTGGGGACGCTCGCCGCAGATGCTCACAGCAAGACAGACTCAGCCTGGTAGCTGAAATCCAGATACTCCGCCACGATTGGTCGGATGGACTTTGTCCATGGTAAGGCTGGCCTGCTCTGATGGCGCAGCGAAGATGAGCACGACATTGTGCGGGGCCCATCCGGCCCGTAGACGTAGTAATTGTGGTCTCCGGCCGCTTTCCCTAGCCTTGAGCCAACATCGTCCGGGCCACGCCCTGATCCAGCGCAGCCACCGCGGCATCGAGCTCCAGAGGCAGAGCGCAGACCACGGCGATCTCGAAGTCCTCGCGGGACGAGGGCGGCTCAAACGCCATTGTAACGGTAACGACCTTGAAGCTTGAAACACAGATGTAATGAAGACAACTCAAACCATGTCCGTGAAAACCAGAAAGTTAAGAAAAACAGGAAGAGCCGCCGAGCTGAGGGGTTAACTAAAGAGTTTGGGGGCCAAGCGGGGATCCCGCCGTGCGCCGCAAGGCTATACTCGATAGTACTGCCTGCAGAAGAGCGGCGCAGCTGAATGGGTCCCTGCCAATCCGACGTGGATTGGGCGTATTAGAGTGGGAAAACGCCCAAGAAGGGTGGATTACAGGCCAGAAACGGACAATCCATCGAGTTACGTTGGAGGAGAAGTACAGAATATCACCAAACTACCTAGGTAGGTACAGTAAGGTATCTCTAATCTCTATCCCCGGGAAAACCCACCACCTACCGATCTGGAGTACTAGCCGCTCTAGCCCCGCTTCATGGAGACCTGAAACGTGTTTGGCAAAACCTGAGATCGAGAGAATGCCGCTTGAGAAGTAGAAGAGTGCGACATTGCGGTCGACCAGCTCCTCTCCCGGCACCTTATATAGGTCTTTCCTCCATCGCCTCCCTGGATTTGCGGTACACCAGGAGGGGTTGTCCAGCATCTTCTCTAGGCCTGGGACCGCTTCAATTAGAAGTTGGTAAATAACAAATGAAGGTCGTTTAGATCGCCCTTTTTCTCCTCCTTGTCACGGCGAGCAAGTCTCCAACCTCTGGGCTGACTATTACCCCGGATCTGAATCAAACTGCTGAACAAAGCAAACTCACAAATCCTACTTCAACATCTGATCTTAACATTTGACAATTGACATACAACCGCAGATCGGCCCAGCGCCTAACTACCGTACCCGCCTCTCCCCTCACGCAGGTAACTCCGACGCGCCCTCCTGGCCCGTCATAGAACCCTCCGCTGTCGGCGGCCTGCAGCCCTGCACCTCACCTTGCGCTATAGAAGAGGGTTGGTGACCATGATTGCCCTGAGCCATATGATAGGGTTGCTGACCATGCTCATTCTGAGTCATGTGATAGGGTTGTTGACCATGCTCACCCTGAGGCAGATGATATGCCGGCTGACCCTGACCACCCTGCGGCGGCATATAATAGCCGTGTTGATCATGCTCACCCTGCGACATAGCCATATAATACCCCTGCTGACCACCATGACCACCATGTCCACCAAACCCACCACTCTGCACCCCCCAGCCCCCCGCAACAGGCGTAGCAAACCCACTCCCCAGGCCACTCCCCGGCGGACTCAGCGGCGGGCTCACGGGCGGCGACACATCGCCCAGCAACTCGGGCCTGGCCACCCACGATCCGACGCCACCACTACCACCGCTGGATAGTTCCGAGAACGCCAACTGCGGCACCTCCGGCGAGGACATCTCGGCCAGGGGGGGTGACTTGTCAGCGCCAGCGTGCGGCGGCAGACCCGGAACGGCACCCGTCTCTGCGCCGGGGAGTGTGCCGTTGTTGGTGTTGTTATCTTGGTTTTTGTTCTTGTCATTGCCACTGCTGTTGCGGCGGCGCCGGAAGACTAGCCAGAGAGCGGATAGTGCGCCGAGCAGGAGGATGGCGCCGATGGAGGCGCCCGTGGCGATGCCTGCGATTGCGGCCGTGCTGAGGCTGCTGCTGGTGCTGTTGTTGTTGTTTTGGTTGGACTCGGTCGGGCTGGTTGGGATGAGGCTCGGTGGGGGGGTTATGGTGGTGGAAGAGTCGGAGTCGGTGGTGGTGGGTGACTCGGACTGGGTGGTGGTTGGGAGGTGGCCTGAGGACCACTCGATTGTGCCTCCTATTTCGGTCGGCAGGACCCCGATGCCGGGGATGATGGATGGGGCCGAGAAGGCGACGGTGATCGGCTCGTCGTCGGAGGGGCAGTTGCACTCGTCGCCTTCTGTGATCTTAGACGGCGCGCCTTCTTCTTCGCAGGCCACCCTTATTGATTGGCCGTTAGATTAGCGTTGTCTAGGTGCTATACCTGGCCCGAGGTACTGAAGGGAGCTATCAGCTATGATATTGATAAGAGATACGCACCATCGGTTGAATTTGCAGTAGATCAAGCCTGCCCAGGGGTATTCTGGTTGTGGTCTCGAGTCAGTCATGCAATACCAAAACTGGCGAACATCGTCGTCATCGTCATACCGCGGTACGCCTTCTTATCAGGGCAGCTTGCGTCCTCGTAAGATTGGTCGGTGCATCCGGCCAAGTAGGTTGTGCCATATTCTTCGTTGTAGCAGGCGCCTTCCTCGAGGCAGTGGTCGCCAATTTGGCAGCAGTGAATATTACCGAATGCCACATTTCCGCAGGGGATGAATACGCCTAAGACAAAATTTCTCGCCATAAAGTAGCAGGTGCCATTGCTCACGGATGGGTCGGGGTCGGCCATGTTGACGGTGATTTCCAACACTTAGTAAGGTTGGGGTGACGATGGGAGGAGGTGAATATATTAACTGCCGATGTAGAAATAGCAACTTCACAGGTGGTATTGGTAGGTAGGGTTTAAGCATGAACAACGAAAAGTAGAAATTGCCAGTACAATGAGTGGGTTTCGGGGAGATCGCAAGGCAGGAAGGAGCGAAAGGCCGCGTTTTCATTTTTCCTATTCTGTGTTTGTTCCCGTCCGTGAAACCAACCCCGCCCAAATTCACTACATTGTCCTCTTCAGTGTTCATTTTGTGTATTTCCTGGATCTTAAATGTTCCTTCGGCTACTTCATGAGAATAAACCCAGCCTGTGAGTCCCGTGACTTCCGAGCTGAACCATTGCATATTATTCACACACGCTTCATCAACTAGGTCATGACATGGTCACGGACTCGCGACTCTTTCATGGTTTGCACAACATTATTAAACTATTTACATTAACTCGAGTACAGTGCCACATACCCACCCGGTAGTCGCACTAAACAAGGATGTCCGCGGCTACCTACACCTTCCGGCAAAGACGCCCGTTCTGTGTCGGGATCCACGGCAGCTGGTCCGTCACATACCAATCCTCAGAGCCGACCGCCGTCGGGGCATAGAACAGACCGGTCGGGTCGTACTGCTTCTTCAGCTTAAGCAGGCGGTCATAGTGCGCGCCGTAGAAGGCCTGCTGGAAGTCGGGCTCGTTGATGTCGCCCTCGGACATGTACGAGCCCGCACCGGGCGACACCTCGCGCCATCGCGCCATCCAGTCGTTGGTCAGCGTCTCGCTGGCCTGCTGGATCTCGGCGTCGGTCGAGCCGGCCTCCCACCCCGCGCTGAGGATGAAGAAGCCCGTCGCCTTGCGCCACGCCGGGTTGACGCTGTTGTCCTGCTTGGCGCCCGGGTTCGGCGCCGACCGGATGTTGTAGCCGACTAGCGTGCCGCCGCCCTCGACCGCGTGCCGCACCGCCGCGAGCGTGTCGCCTAGCTTGGCTGCCTCGAAGTTCTCCTTGGGGAAGAGGCGCGAGGCCGCGTGGCTGGTGAAGCCGCCGACGCCCTCCGAGTTGGGGAACGTGTCGGTGTATGCCTGGTACATGGTCGGGTAGTCTTTGATGACGGGAGTGATGGCGATGCCCAGGTTGGCTAGGTCGTCGAGGAAGGGTGTGACGAGCGAGGTGAACTCCGGCTTCGTCATGTTGGCTCCCCACATGGGCATCATGTTGAAGATGAACTCGTTGGGGCCTGTGCTCTTCACGAGGAAGTAGCCGAACGCGCCCGCGGAGGTGAAGGTGTCGAAATAGGGTCATGTAGGCTTTGAGGGCCTCGAAGAACGTGTCGGCCGACACGTCGGGGCCGGTGGTGTACGAGTAAGTCATGGTGGTGCGTGGGCACCTTGGGGTAAGCCCGAATAGTGATCGAGGTCACGACACCGTATGTGCCTGTACTTGAGTTAATAACGAAAATTTTCTGACAAGCAGGGATAGGGCAAACTCACTGCCACCGCCACCGCGGAGGGCCCAGTAAAGGTCTGGGTTCTCATCCTCGTTGGCCTTGACGAACCGCCCATTGGGCAGCACCACGTTTAGTTCCAGGATCTGGTCAGCAGCCATGCCCACGAGAGCCGCCATGGGCGAGTGGCCGCCTCCGGCACTGTACCCGCCGGCAATACCCACAGTCTAAAGAGGTATGTTAGTGATCTGCGGCTTCGTCAGGGGCAAGGGCATAAATAGCTTACGCGACACATGCCACCAACGACGGTGACGTCGTGCTCTTCGGCAGCAGCGTAGATCTCTTCCGTCACAACACCGCTGCCCAGCCGGAACGCGGGTCCACTGTATCCCCTGCAGTTGTAGTCGGCCAAGAACTCGATGTCCTTGAGCTTGTGCGTCCAGACCGAGAGCGCCCCGGCACCGATAGACTTGTCGGCGAAATCATGGCCGGTGTTCTTCACAACCAGGCGGAGGTTGGAGTTTCGCGCAAAGTTCAGCGCGAGCTGGATCTGCTCGACCTTGGTCACGGCGACCGAGTAGGCCGCGTAGCCGCCCAGAGTGCAGTTGCTGGCGGTCGGGTCGTCGGTTGGTAGACACGTCCGGCCCTGGTAGAGGGGCCACATGACCGACGTGGGGTCGTCGACGTGCAGGTAGGGGCTGCCCCATTTCGCCGTCACCTCCGCGCAGGCGGCGGCGTCGTACTCTGGCCGGTTGCTGTAGCACGGCGCCGCGAGGGGCACCGTCTCGATGAGGGCGCCGCCGAGCGCCGTGTTGAACTTGTCCCAGGTCTGCTGCGACGGCCACGCGGCATCGCCGGGCATGACTCTGCACTTTTCTTTCTTAGCGTTGAGGTCTGAGGTGGCCGTCGCGTCGCCAAAGCTGAATAGGGGGTCGCTTTTGGCGACGGTTGAGTCCGTCAGCTGGGCATTCTCCCACGCGAAGCGCGTAGGACACTTTGCTGCGATGGCCGCAGCGCTGGTGTGGTCGGCGAACACGGCCAAGAGGGCTGCGATCGCCGTGGACCGGAGTGCAGAAGCCATTTCGGTGGCTTTGAAAAGTGTCTTGAGGGAGCAACTTGGGGAAGGTGACAAGAGGCTGCTTCCTTGTCCATCCATGCCCTCGGAAGCCGGCACTTTATATAGGCCTCCTCTCTCCCTCCCAATTTAGCTCTGAATGCGCACTTCCCCCATGAGGGGAAGACGCGCATCCGGTTACCGAAAAACCCCAGCTAGTGCTGCCGGGCATCCTTGATCATGGCATGGTGTTGAAGAACCAACCATGCCGAAAATGCAACCTCCCGCATGTGAACCTTGTCCGTTCATTGCCATTTGCGAACCATAAGCCGTCCCCTCCCCCGGCATTCCCCCCCTGTAACCGCCGTGACCACCAACATGGCCGCTTGGGGCCGAATGCAAGGAACGATTCCGAGCCAATAGGGGCCCCCTGGATCCATGCAGACCGCATGGCAACCGCAGCAAGCCTCCTGCACCAGGGTCGTGTCTCGCTTGCCAATGTCCGAAGCGGCAGCAACTTCATCTCTCGCATTGAGGGGAGGGGACTTTGCTCAGCAGGCAGACCTGGCTTCCGTAGAGTTGTGGTTTTCGGAAGAAAGTGAGTGAGTAAATACCTCCCTAGTAGGCAGCCGGCTGTTGGGGGTCCGGAGGTGGCCTTGGCACGGGCCGGTTGGAGGTATCGTCGGAGGTGCCGTCGGAGATGCCGTTGTTGGAAATCCTCGTCCCATCGCAAGCTCGGTGTATTAAGTGACCGGCCTCCCCGTCTCTCTCCGATACTGACACCCATCAGCGACTACTCCCCCGACTTGTGCTCCCTCAGGTAGAAGCAACAAGCGCGGCCAATGCCAAAGAACATGCCTACACAGGTAAGTATCCTAACCCCCAAGTCCGCGAAGCGAAAAAGAAACAAAGAAAAGAGAGAAAAAAAAAGAAAAGAAGAAGCCCCTCAGGCAAACCTGACGCTTCCCAGCAACCCAGCTTCCCCACCCCTCCCCTCCCACTCCTTCCGAGGACGCCTGTGGATGGTCTAGCCGTCCACCTCCATCTCCGAGCCAACGTTACCGGCGACGTCGTCGAGGTTTATCGCGTCGACACCGTCGGCGAGGAAGACGTACGCCGGATCTTTGGCATCCACGACGGAGGTGGGGGGGTGGCGGGTCATTGGTTTCGCCTCCAATGCACCAAGGGGGGTGCATAATTAGGAGACCACAGGGCTGGGCTCACCTCATCTGACATGTGGCGATGCGGCGACTGGGAGGGATTTGGACGAGGGACGGCAAAAGCCCAGAGCCACGATAGGCCAGTGAAAAGCGAGAGAGAGAGACTGCGGGCCCCGCCCCTCCCGTCGCCTCGAGGCACCGCCTGGCCCGAAACAGTGGTCGTTGATTTTCTTGTCTTGAGGCAGAGGAAGTGCCTCAAATGGATTCGATGGTTGTTGCAGCTAAAGCTGCACCAGCCGAAACTAAGAACTGTGCGTGGGCTTGTGCACAGGCCAACCTGCAGGGCGCTGGCCCTGCAGGTGCCAACAGTTTGGTAAGTTGGGGCTGGACCACCGGCCTGGCCGTCTAGTTGACGGGAGGGAGGGTGATTGGTTCTTTCCCATCAGCTGGTCCTGCAAACTCCTCCTTTGGGCCATCGTCGTCGCCAGATTCCTTGGTATATACTTCCTCAACACATTGCAGCAGTCGTCGGGGGAGATGTGGGTGGAGAGAGTGGTCTCCTCGCCGCCTCATCCTTATACAGCCCTGAGCTTCGTGTGTTCAAGGTACCTGAACGCGGCGGATAGGATGGACAGGGAAATGGGATGGACGGAAATGATGGGATGGACAGAGAGAATGGGATGGATGGGGGCAATCAGGTGGGGGTTCAGTACACACTTTCGCCATTGGGGCGGACGAACTGTTTATGTCCCTGCATCGCGAACTTGATGGGATTTGATGATTACGATATGGCCCATCGCCAGCGGATGAACCGTGTGTCTCCTTTTATCTATAAACCTATATCCTACTAATATAATTTAATGTGATTAGATGCTCTTTACGGCGAGATAGTGATACAACGAATGGAGTTGGACGAGGATACCCCCGATGCTTGTACTATAGGCGATGTAGGTAGACAGCCACATCCCGTCGTCTCCATCTACTCCGCCTAAGAATAAGAATATATCCGTGTTCACTTCCACTTGACTTCTTGCTAACATTTATCCTTAGAGACGAAGCGTACAGCCATCCCCGAGACGCCTACCAAGGCACAAACAAAATCCGCGACAACAGGCGCAGTTAAGAAATCAAGAAACAGGGCTCGAAGGTGCACAAAGCCAGGGAATCGAACCGCCGCACCTCGACTGAGAGACATATTGCTTAAGACAACAAACCACGAAGGACATGTCAAGGGTTTGGTGGTGCAGGTGACTGGGGTTGGTGAGCAGGAACTCGCACCAGTCTCATCCCCGCTCGCCCAGACTGCCGGGGACCCAGGGATGATGACTAGCGGCGCGGGGCGGCGGGGGTGACGAGCTCGGGACATGGCAGACACGAGGACCGGGAGACCGGGGACAAGGCAGGGGAGGGCGTCCTGTCATTTTTTGCTCAACTGTCTGTTCAATCACATTGGAGTCTTGCCGAGACCGAAAACGCTGGCTAACCCATTATGATAGTATGCTCGGAGTCTCGGGTTTTGCATGATTGAACCTTGGCGGCTCAATCTCTCGAGTCCCAGTGCGATTCTTCAGAGGCCAGGGGTGGTACTAACATTGAAGATGATGGGGGCGCTTCCTGGGTTAACCTGGCTGCTGGTCTTGCTTTCAATTGAGCCTTGGGTATTCGACCAAAGAAATGGGCTGGGTTAGCCATCCTAAAACCTCAGAGTGCACGAGCTAGAATGAGGGCGAGTTAGTGACGCCGAGCTCAAAAACGAGGTGAGTGACGAGGTGAAGACTGAGATAACGAGATAAATAGGTAACGAGATAGAAATTTACTCAGAACGAGTTATAGAATGTTAAGAAGATCGAGTTGAAACAAGTCAGAGAATTAAAACCAACTATTCAATTCCCGACTTACATGTCCCTACTTATATGTTGAGGATAATCTCCCATTTCAAAGGTGTTCGTATTTCAAACCCCTGGGGGGGCTGGGGGGTAATAGTGGCATCCTTTGATGACAAACACAGCGGCAATCAAGCACTCGTAGAGTGTCAAGTGGGATATTGACTCAGGAGTCATGAACTGGAAGTAAGTGTCGTAACGTGACGGAACCAATATGAATTAGAACCCGACACCGGAGCCATCGACTTTCTACGATGTAATGCAATTCATAATCGAATGACAATAATAAACCATATCCATGGCCGGCGTTATCGGAGGCTCGGGCTCAATCAAGGACAGAAGTCGCAAAACCCCCATGGCTTCTTTCAAATATAGCTTATCTCCGTCCCCGTATATAGGCTCAACCGGTCTTGGATACCAGCTCGGTTTCGCCAGAGAATGGCGTGCTATCGTTCCCCACGGCAAACCACATGGGGGTCCAAGCACATGCCACCCGAGTGTGTGGACACACACGTCCAGCAGGAACAGTAGCAACCTCCCAAGACGCGATGACGCGATCCGCTCCGCGTCTAGCATCACCTCCAACCCACAACGGAAGTCGCCGACGTACCAGCAAACCCGCAACTTCTCAACGCTCGCACCCATGTCTCCGTCCTAAACCCGTAAAACTGCCTGCCGCCGTTGCGGGCTGTGGAGCAGTCGCGTGGTTATCAGATCGGACCCCTCCGGCCGGAACCAGCTCTTTTGCCCAGATCGGCAACCGTACGGGAGGACCTCACTTTGCGCCGGCCGTGATTGGGACAGAGAGGGCTCGCGCAATTCCATCCATGTTGCTTGCCATCCTCGAAGCTCCGACCCCGCAAGTCGTGTGGGCGCGGGATGACGTTGCCGAGAGGTTATAAAGGGGGCGCCTGCTGGGTTTCTGGAGGCGTCTGAGACATTCGAATAAGCGAGAGCCTTAATTCAAACGACTCGTCAGACCAGCAGCGTCGGTACTTTAATCATGGCTCCCTCCGCAGTCGAAGTCGAAACCGTCACGGTCCCAGATGTGACCACTCTGAAGCTCCAAGCCGCCGGCCCCTACAAGGAGCTGGCCGCGACGAAGTATGACGCGGAAGGCGAAGCGGGATTGAAGGGCCACAAGGCAGCCAAGGTCGGCAGTACCTCCCCAACTCGCCGCCCCAACGCCCGCTAACCCGCCCAGTACCCGCACTACCTCCCGACCTGGAACCCCAAGGAAAAGTACCCGCCGCTGCAGCCGTTCGAGCACACAGAGCACGGCAAGGATGCGGACCCGTCGTACCCGAACCTGCTGCCGGAGGGCGCGGTGACGGTGACGAACCTCACGCCGACCATCGGCACCGAGGTCCGCGGCATCCAGCTGTCGACGCTCACCAAGGCCGGCAAGGACGAGCTGGCGCGGTTCGTGGCCGAGCGCAAGGTCGTCGCCTTCCGCGACCAGGACTTTGCCGACCTCCCTATCGATGAGGCCCTTGAATATGGCTCGTACTTTGGCCGGTAGGTGCCCCACTCCCCATGCTCTGGCGTGCATCAGGGGCGCTGGCAACAGCATCCCCATTCGAGAAACAGAAACTGACCTTCACACACAGCCACCACATCCACCCGACCTCCGGCGCACCCGAAGGCTACCCGGAAATCCACCTCGTGCACCGCGGAGCCGGGGACACAAGCGCGGAGGCCTTCTTCGCGAAACGCACCTCCTCCGTCGCGTGGCACTCCGACGTGTCGTACGAGCAGCAGCCACCGGGGACGACCTTCCTGTACGTGCTGGACCGGCCGGCGACGGGGGGCGACACGCTGTTCGCCGACGCGGCCGAGGCCTACCGCCGCCTCAGCCCCCTCTTCCAGCAGCGCCTGCACGGCCTGCGCGCCACCCACTCGGCGGTCGAGCAGGCGGCGGCGAGTCTCGCGCGCGGCGGTGTGCAGCGCCGTGAGCCGGTCATTAATGAGCACCCCATCGTGCGCACGCATCCGGTGACGGGCGAGAAGGCCATTTATGTGAACCCGCAGTGTGCGTTCCCCTTCCCCTCCATCGTCTCCTAACCACGCACCTCCCCCCCGCCAACCCCCCATAGCCACAGTACCCCAAGACTGACTCGCCTTGTATGTACACAGTCACGCGCGACATCGTGGGCCTCAAAAAGGAAGAATCCGACGCGCTGCTCATGTTCCTGTACGACCACCTCGCGTACGGGGCCGACTTCCACGCGCGGGTGCGGTGGGAGGCGCGCACGGTGGGTGGTGTGGGACAACCGCGTCACGCAGCACTCGGCGCTGGTGGACTGGAGCGACGGCCAGCGCCGCCACCTGGCACGCATCACGCCGCAAGCGGAGCGGCCGTTCGAGACGCCGTTTGAGGGGTGAGTGAGTCGGTTGGGAATTTGGATCATGGATTGGATTGGATGGAAGGGTTGGTCGGTTGGTTGGACTGGGCGCGCAAGTATGTGTGCGTTATGTACGTTTCGGAGGGATGGTGTTACATGAAGGGAATCGAGTTGATCGATGCTGCGTTGGCCTCTGAGTTTTTGTTGTTGCTGCCCTGGGCTTTCGTTTCGCGCCGCCGTCGTTGCTCTGCCCTTCTGGCCCGCAACCTGGCGAAGAAATCGTCGTCCTCGTCTTCATCCTTTAGAGCGGCAAGTTCGGCAACCTGCTGCCTTGCAAACGTTTCCTGTGCTGGGGTCTGGAGCCGTGCGGTGCCAGCCTTTAGAAAGGGATTGCTCACGTCGTCAGCCTCAGCTATTGTCTTTGCGGGCGGTTCTGAGGCCGGTGCGCGTTGAACCGGGGGTCTCTCGGCCTTTTCCACACGCGGCAAACTGCTAGCATGTTTGCGAGGCCAGGAAGGTAGGCCGTCGAGGTCATCATCGTCTTCATCGGAGCCCGACGTAGTTTCTTGTTTAACCCTTGTGGATGGCCTTGTGGGCGGTACTACACTTGCCCGGTGGGACAGATCCATGCTGTTGTTCCGCACCACCATCCGCGCCTCTTGTCCACTCGGACGACGCCGAGACGGACTGCCAGCTGCCGCACCCCGGTTGCTTGAGCTTGGCCGCGAGCCGGGTAGCGAGGTTAACAGCGCAGTAGGCTTCCTCGGGCTGTCCATCAGCCCCTGCAATGACGATGTAGCCGGCCGCCGGGACGACGCTTCCTCGTCTGAGCCGTCCCTGCTAGCCCGCTTACCCAGGGTCTTAGCGACGGCCTGACGCTGCTTAGGGGCTGCGTCGAGAGCGACATGGCGCCGTTTAACCAGATCTGTCATCTCCCCCGTGACGGGCCGTGATATGGTCTCGATGGTTTCCGAATTCCGCGACTTAGCCAGCCCCTTGAGTCGCTGGTACTCGGCGGCGTGCAGGTGCCGTGTGAAATCCCCCGCCACGGCCCGGAACTCATCCTCAACCATGCGGTACTGGTCATCGTGATCGATCCCTTCGATCATAAGCCTGCGGCTGTTAGCTTCTGCAGCCGCTCGATCGAACTGGGGCTGAGACGTACTCCTCCTTGAGCGGCTCTGGCGGAGGAGAGGTGGATGGCGTTCGAGCTGAAAAGATTAGTCTCAGTCCCAACCGCCAAGAGACGTAGCTAAGGTGAATATACTGGAAGTAAGCCCTAAACTGCGCCTTGGTTTCCTGGACCTATCTGGTGTCGGCTCTGTCTTGCGCGTCGGGGTGGGGCGGTGAGGTGCAGGACTGCGGCTGGCTGATGGCGCAGGGCTCGCTGCGGCTTTGAGACGAGACGGCGTCTGCTTTGCCGCGCCAGCGCCGACCTTCCATGGGAGTTGTCGAGGCATGTTGAGCCCGAGTCCTTGGATTGTAACGTTGTGTTGCGTGTTTAGTTCGGATAGTCTTTTCGATGAGCGTTACACATGGCAATGGATTTTGAAATCGAAAGATCCTGGGCGATCAGCGATGAGCAGCGGTTGCTGCCTGGCGGACTTGGAATAACCAGCGCGTGAGGAATTGACTGAATCATCCGACTTTTTTGGGGAACGGTAGAATGTAGATGAGTTTGCCGGGTTAATTATGGATCTCACTTTACTTGGTAGTCTGATGAGGCCAGCTACCTAAATGATGTGCGGTGGTAAAATGAGATGAACGGTGTTTCGAAATAATGCCGGGCTTGATACCGTAAGTATGTAATTATTACAATGATGTTACAGGCCTCGTTCCCCAACCATCTTGTCTCTTTTTTATGACATTCGAGAACGACGAGGACAGGATGGCACAATGATGGTGAGAAACTACGCAGGGAACCATGCCATGGCCCACAAAGCATGGCTGTATTATAGCAAGTTTTGAATTTGAATTTGAATTAAAGTCCAGCTAGGTATTAGGTTCCATATCGACTCGAAACCCCATGCCGCAATAACACAGCAGCAGCGAATACCCATTCCATGCTCCTCCATGCGCCTCCATGCTGTAGGAACTAATTAAAACAAAAGCGAGAATGAAAATCAATGCAAACGCTCAACCCACCCTCAACCCACCCCCATCAATGCCCCCGCCAATGCTGTTCCCAATCCCTCGTAAAACTAAACGCACTCATCCGACTCCTCGCCTTCCCGGGCCCAAACGTCGCCACCCTCGTCCGCTCCAACACATCCCGCGGCGCAAACCCATAATACACCTTTCCGCCCACCACCGTCGGGCTCCCCACGCCCCCACCCACATCCCCCGGATGCGCATACGGCCCGGCCCCAGGCCCCATGCCCATCCACATGCCCGGCACAGCGCCCCCCATCGCAACCGCCATCGCCGCGGGCGTGCCATTGGGCCCCGGCTCGGCCACCACGCCATACCCCCACTTCTGCTCGAGGATCTCGCGCGGCACCTCCCCCCACTTGCTGGCCTTCCACGGCAGGGCCTCGAGACACGGCGCACGCGTGGCCGCAACGACGGAGGAGACGTGGGAGTCGCGCACGTGGAAGTTGTTCTGGCGGAGGGCGGCGGAGCCGAGGACGACGGCGAACAGCGCGGCGCCGATGGCGGCGGCGTAGGCGATCCACAGGTCGCGGCGGTTGTAGACGTAGGCGTTGGCGACGCGGGTGCGGGTGCAGGGGTAGGCGAGCCCGGGGGCGTCGTTGGGGTTGCCTTGCGGGTCGGTGACGCCGCTGCGTTGGGTGGGCTTGGCGGCCCAGGAGACGATGACGAATTGGGGGTTGGAGAGCAGGGAGAGGGTCATGTTTTCGTAGAAGTCGCGGATTTGGTCCGAGAGGTTGGGGTGCGGGAGGTAGGTTTCGGTGTTGATGAGGCGGGTTTTGGCGGCTTCGGACTCGACGATGGCGAAGGGCGCGTATTTTATGAGTCCGCCGAGGTAGGCGCGCATGCGCTTGCCGAGGGCGTGGTAGGCGGCGGTTTCGCGGTAGTTTTCGAGGTCGCTGGGGAAGACGTAGTTGGATTCGGGGGTTGCCGTGGTGTTGTCGAGGGTGCCGTCGTCGGAGATCTCGCCAGGGAGGAATTTGGTGTCGACAATGGGGCGGAGGTAGGTTCGGTTGAGTACCGTGGTGGTTTGGTCCGTGTAGGTGTGGTTGAACTGGACGGTGTAGTTGATGAGGTAGTGCTCGCAGCGGAAGACGATCGCCTCGAAGGCTGTGTCCCAGCCAGGGACCGAGCTGTTCTCGGGAGGCTTGCCTGGCCCCGTGTGGTTTGCGTATCCAATCCACAGCACGGGCTCCGTCCTGAAGGCGCCCAAGTGCTTTGGGTAAGGGGGCTCCATCACGGGTATGCCGCCGGGGGGATCCGCCAGGACATCAACTTGCTTGTTGTAGTATTCGCCCTGGCTGGCCTCGGCCAGGTAGCTATAGTTTCCGTTGGGTGCCAGCTCGCCGGCGTTAAATGGCACGCCCTGCCGCTTGAGGGCGTCTTCGTCGAGCTTCCGGCCCTTTGCCAATGTGTCGCACTTATACCCCGGTGCAGTGAACGATATGGTGTAGCTGCAGTTCCAGCCGCCGCCGCACGTCTCAAAAGCGGCCCCTTCTCTGGGTATGACGCCCCCTGTGAGTGCGCTCTGGGCTGCCACCAGCTCGACTTGGGCGCTACTCTCGGTCCAGTAGTCAAAGTAAGTCTCGTTGAAGGGCGTATCGGCGAATCCCACCGAGTTCGGGACGGTGCAGTTCCACAGGGAAAGAGAGACCCCGCGGACGCCGTTGAGCCGGTCGACCATCCTCCAGTTCTTTTTCCTCTCGGCCTCGAAGTTGAGAGTGCGGACACCAAAGCACTGCTCATGTTTGACCTCGGTGAAGGGGGCTACTGTCAAGGTGGCCGGCGTCAGAATGACGGTAAGGGGGAAGAGCCTGTGAGGGTCAGCAAAGCTCGATAGGCGATGGGCAGGGGCGGCGCCATGAAATCGAATGCATGAACCCCAGGTGGGTAGACGCGAGAGAAACATAATCACTCACCATGCTAGGATAGCCAAGCACACTGCCACGCGAGCTTTCTTGATAAACTCCCAATTCAGCAAAGCCTGTGGCTCAGTCACGGCGGCAAACAGGCTGTCGATGGTTCGGAGTTGCAGTGAGTTGTTGATAACCGTTACCCAGATATGTTGCTGGTAGGCAAAGACGACGGCGGCCACGAGTGATGCTTTGGCGGCATAGGATAGGAGACCGCCGAAGCGCATCATGCGGATCTGGTCGTCGGCGGGCTTCCCGTCAAGGCCGTGGTAGAAAGCATGGTGACCGACGGCGAAAGCGAACCCGGCAAGGAACAATCCGTACATGTGCCACGCGCCACTAACCATCTTCCACCCATGCGAGTTGGTCAACCGGGCGAGGCGGGGATTCCCAGGGCCATTGGGCGGTGGTGGGCCGCCATATGGATGTGACTGTGGGTAGTAGTAGTGCGGAGGGGATCCATCGGGACTGCCGACGGGGTACTCGTGTGATGTGAGGTTGGACTTGGACGGGTCGTTGACTGGCGGAGGAGTTGTCGGAGGGCTATCTGAGTTTTGCTGGAGCGAGTCCCGAGAGATGGAGTAATACCCCGGATACTGGGCAGCATGGTTGTTAGACTCGATACCCAGGCCCACACTGGACGGGCTAACTGGGCCCGCGGCCGCCGCTTGAGGCTCTGGAGGTGGTGGGCTCACAGGTGCAAAAGAAACCCCCGGACGCGGTGGCGGCGGGGATGGAGAGTCGAGATCCGGTGTTGGTGCCATGGGGTTCCACCCTCCATTTCCTGTCTGGTCGGTTTGGTGATGGAAGTAGGGCTCATAATGATCTGGCCGGGCCTGAGCTGACGAGTGTTGATCCATGGCGGCGGTGGGAAAGTGAGAGGTTCATAGGCCGTTGGGGTTGGTGGCTTGGGACAACGGAAAGTTTGCCTGAACCTGGGAATCCTGGGGAATGGAGATCGGCTGGGGATACAGCAGTGACAGTCAAAGCACTGGCATGCTTAGAGGAGGGGAATATGTTGCATGCACGTCATGGGGGTTGGGGGCTGGCTTGGTAATAATGGCGACCGTGGCTGCGACCCGAGAGTTGGTGCCAGATTACACGGGTCGAAGCAACGGTAAATTCGCTTCATCCATTGCTGGGTACTGTTGGCGGTAAGAAACGAAAACACAACCTTTTTATTCCCACCAAACCGCTGCTTCGTAGGTGGGAGCACATCCCCGACCACCCACTGCCCGCGCGACCGCACATCACCTACCACTTGGCATTAGCACAGTTGCACCAGCAGCACCAATGCCACCACCAATGTCAGCCACCGTTCACCAGCTCCCGGATCGGCCCTAAAGTCCGTTTGTTGACAAGGGAGCACGCGAGCCTGATGGGGGCCGAAGAAATGGAAATAGAAACACGCTGCGGGGCAGATGCGGAATACCTGGTTATGATTCCTCAAAATCCTGTCGTTGCAAACGCGGCCGGGGACCACAATGACTTGGCACAAGATGAAAGCGGAAGTGGGCAAGGCTGGGTAAAGCTCTGTAAGCTAGCGAGGTGGTGGCTGAGCGGGCTTTGGTGGAGCGATGGATGGCAGCTCGGGGGGGCGATCATGCAAGTCTGCAGTCGTTGGAACCAACAGCTCAGCAGAGCTGCAGCGGTGAGTGGTTCGCCCATGCTCGTCCCCGATCCTAGTCGGCAGGCGCGGGTCGAAATCCACGCGCTGCACAGTGGTTTTAGAATAACCTTCGATCTGCGGGGGCTAAGCCTGGGCCTTGGCACGTGCTTGCGTCGGGTGGAACGGGCCACGAGGTCGTCGAATTTGAGTGGTAGGAAGCGGGAAAACGCAGAAATGGGACGAGAATAAGGGCCCATCCCCAGAATCCTGCATCAACCACTGATTACGATGGCGGGTGGGCGACGAGCGAGATCTTAATGCCCAAAAAGAAACGGCAAAAATCGAAAAGTTAAAGGACGAAACGCGATTTGAACGCGTGACCTACCGGACTGCAGCCGGTTGCTCTACCCCTGAGCTATTCGTCCAGGTCAGGGCCGATCATAGATGATGCTGGCAAATTGTGGGTCTATGATGGTCAAAGCGCATTGCGTGATTTAGCGAACAGGAGTGACCGTGCCCGCTGCGCGCGGGCACGCCAAAGGAGCCTGGAGGAACTTGCCGGCTGCAGGTAGGCCCCATAGCGGAGTCAACGATGTAATTGTTAAAGGCGGAAGAAGAAGCCATCTTGACTGCAATGGGATTATAAACAGTATCAGGAGATGATTGTAGTTTAGGTTAGAAAATCGGGATGGAAAGAACGTACCGAGTTCCTTGGATTGGGAAAATGGAGTAAAAAAGGTGGCCTCTACGTATAGCACCGGTTTGACCTCATCGCCGATGTATGACGCCGCATTCTTGAGTCTCCAGTAAGCTATATCGTCATCTAGGGGCTTCAGTAATCAGATCCCGTAAAGATTAACCTCTGTGGCGTAATCTCACAGAGCTGATAGGTTCCGTGTATTTTGTGCGTCAAAGAAGCAATTTGCTTCGCTACCCCTCGTCACGTAGACGACCATCGAGCCGTAGGCCTTGCTTGTATCCTTCCTGCTGAGCCAGGCAATCCCGGCAATGTTGACGTTGTTCTCTGTAGTCGTGGTTCCAGGAATGGGACGTCATAGCCGAATCAGCGCAGACCGAAGCTGCTGACGAAGAAGCGGGTGCGTCGCTCTAGTAGTAATAGTCAACCCATAATAGGTGTCGACCCTGAACACCTCATTTTCGCCACTTTTTGACAGAAATTTGATTTCTTGGTTCGTGATTGTCGAGGATTGCGCGACGGAGGCACGCAAAGGCACGAGCGAAGCAGCGAGTCACAGGGGCCCTGATGCCAAAGTGCGGGTAAGCGGCTTTTTTACGGCAATTTGATTGGCCAGAATAAAGCAACAGCGGTCCCTGCACCTCCACCGCCAAGACCTACTGCGAGATGCCAATTCGACGAAGCAGAATGCAGATGACGCCAGACTTCGAGATGCTATCGAGAGAAGTCAAGCAGGAGAAAAAGCCAAAGTTCTGCAGTGAAAAGTCGACAGTACAGCTTAGAAATGACACCGTTTTTTCGGTTTTTTTATGGAGAAAAAACTGGTCCGTGCTTAGAGCAGGCCATGGCATTTTCGACCTAAGGATAAGGAAAAGGAAAAAAGGAACCTGGAAAAAAATAAGGAACCTGGAATAAGGAACCTGGAATAAGGAACCTGGAATAAGGAACCTGGAATAAGGAACCTGGAATAAGGAACCTGGAATAAGGAACCTGGAATTCCTCCAGGCAAAGGAACCTGGAGTTCCTCCAGGCACTCCGGCACATTCCTCCAGGCACTCCAGGCACAAGGACTCAAAGGGTTCAACAATGGAGGTTCTGTCCTATTGGAATGCTACCTAACTTTAGGGTTGGTTTGTTTCTTGTGATATCCACATGAAATCCTACACCTCCACCACTGGAATGAGGCTTGCTGCGTTGCAAGTACATACCTAGGTACCTAAGTAATTATCGGCGCGGTGCGTAGGAACTAAAACATTGCCACATCTTTTTGGCTGACTTAAAATGTAATAGAACCAAGTTCATTGACGGTTCAAACCAGCCGGATTTTGGTGTGCGGTACCTGAAGGCTGAGGTTCACTATGGCCGAGTTCTTTCATGTGTGTCAAGGATTTTCACGTTTGGGGTGTCATTGTGTGTCCATAATTAGTGTCTTCATTACAATTAAGATTAGGTAGGTACCCAAGGTAGGTAGGTAGCACTGTAAGTACTTAGATACCCAAGAGCATACATGACAAGGTTAAGAAAGCCTTCCACACCACGACAACAAGCAGGAAATCACCACGACAACAAGCAGGAAATCACCACGACAACAAGCAGGAAATCACCACGACAACAAGCAGGAAATCACCACGACAAACTACCAAGCCAGTTCCTCCGAGCTGCCACCACCACAACCACCCTTCTCCTCCACCGGCTTGGCCCAGTCATACAGGCCCCCACGCTCCACAAAGGCATCCTCATCCCAGAACACGCTCTCCAGGGCAGCATCCACGCCCACTTCCAAGATCGGCTTCGACGGTTGTTTCCCTGTCCGATCCAGAAAGCGCAGATACTCGTCCAGGATGAGGTAGCTCCTGGCCATGAGGCGGTTGGGCTCCGGCACCAGACAGGCCTGGCCCGCGTGGCGCGCGCAGAACCCCTCAAACGCCGCGTCCGAGATGGTGAACTTGTGCCCGTTGCGCAGCGTCTCCTCCGAGTCGTTCTCCCCCGACACGATGAGCACCTGGAAGGCTTTCCACCGGTAGGGTTGTAGCGCGGCGATGTGCGCGTTCATGTCTTCGGTTACGTTGAGCTTGTTGACGACCGTGTTGAGCTTGAAGAGCACGCGGTACTGCCGGCACCAGGCGGCGATCTGGTAGAGTTTCTGGACTTGGTCGCCGCTGCCGCGGCCGATGTCGATGTTGGTTTGCTCATTGAAGGAGTCGCAGCTGACGGCGAGGATGTCCAGGTTGGCGGCGTGCTTGCGGAAGAAGTCCTCTTTGATCAGGCTGCCGTTGCTGACGATCGAGACGGACTCGAGGCCGAGGTCGGTCTTGCAGTAGTCGATCATGGTGCCGAGGACCTTGGGGTAGAGGAAGGGCTCGCCGCCCGCGAAATTGATCTTGCGCATGCCGGCCTCGGCGAGGAGGCGGAGGGCGGCCTTCTGGTGCGGGAGGTCTTCGATGTGCGAGGTTGTGGCCGTGTGGAAGCAGAAGCCACAGGCCTTGTTGCAGCGGCGTGTGAAGTGGTAGTTGACCGAGACGGGGACCTTGCTGTTGCGGCCGAGTATGAGGGGAATCCAGGATAGGGGGATTCGGTAGCCACTCGGAAGGTTCTTGTAGGCAAAGACCAGAAAGTGACAGATCAGGGTCAAGGCAATAAGAACCCCGAAGGCGCTGTCGAAGATCGTGAACAGCATTGTGACTGAGGTCCAGGAGAAGGTGGCACCCCTGGTAGAAGTTGATGCGAGACTTGTGGGAGCTAAGGAAAGAATGAAGAAGGAGTTCGGTGTTCAGCCAGGCTGCTCTTATAGAATCCTGAGCACATGCTTTTGGTCGTATTGGTACAGGCTCATACGCCGAGATAGGTAACGACAACAATGGGCTTTTGCTTGCTTTTAGTGTCAGGGCTTGACGTGCTCTTTGCCCTGCTTGACTCTTTGCCCTATTCACAAACGGCTTTGGCTTGCTCACAACTGAGTCAAAGCACCAAACACCACCAAGTCGCTTGTCTAACGATCAAGCACTCCAAGACAACGACAAAATTGCTTGACAACAGTAAATCTGCTTGGTGATCTTTGAAATCACAAACATGAGTTCAGGTGAGGATAAACACACCATGTTCCCGGCCTTTCTTAGCTCGACTCTTAGCTAACCATCCACCTTCAGCAGCCCTCGACTCTTCTGTACGCATCTCCAAGATGGACGACAAATACGAATGCGGCAACCGTTCTTTCATCTTCGTCATTAGTGAGTAGACACCATGTTCTTCGTTCAATTTATTCCTAGCTGACAAACACCGCGTCGAGGTTCCCCTGGAGCCGGCAAAGGGACTCTGTCAAGGTGGTTGGCAGAGGACAATGACTTCACCCACATCTCCATCGGTGACATGCTGCGCGAATTTGGCAAGGGTAGCGGCCAGATGCATAAGATTATCAAGGGATCTGTAAAGAATAATTATGTCCTGCCCACGCCCTGGCTCTTCCCCATCCTGTGGGATGCCATCTGCGCCGTCCCGGACGGCCGAACCATCATCCTGGATGGATTTCCGAGAGCCTGGGAACAAGCCAGGTCTTTTGGAGAAATGGTAAGTAGAGACCAGAAAAAGGTTGAGTTGGTACTAATCCATTAGTTTGCCGACCCGGCTCTGGTTATCCTCTTCGATTGTTCCGTGGCCGTGGCCAAGGAGCGGGTTGGGGGAGGTATCGATCCCGAGGATTTCGACACGAGATACTATAAATATGTCAATGACAACCAGAGAATTCTCCTGGAATACATCGCCGTATTTCCTGAACATCGGGGCAAGCTGGTCGAGGTGAGTGTGGTCGGCGCCGTGTCGGTCTGAGTTCTTGTCTATTAATTGACATCAAATAATAGATCAACGCCGACGGCGACGCGGCGACTACGTACTGGATCCTGAGGGAGGCGCTGCGCTCCAAGCCAGAATGGTCGGCGTTGCTAGACTCCTCGGTCTCCCCTCCCCCCTCGCCGTCCTCTTGAGCACAAAGTGAGGAAGGCCGACGGAGCGGGCATCGCACCGGTTGATAGTCACCATGTATTTGTAGTCAGAATCCACGCCATAAATTGACTATCAACAAAAACTCCTGTCTCTGACGGTCTGACATGCACCCGCAACGGTGACTGACCACCGGCCCCCCCCCCCCCCCCCCCACCAAACCATTTATCCAAATTGGGGAAGGGGGCCCCAATGGGAAGGCAAGCCAATAAGGCCACCAGAAAGCCCTAATGGGCGGGGAATACCTCAGGGACCACCTCCAGGTTTGAAAGCCCCTGGAAAGTGGGAAGAAACTCGGCCCTTAATTCGGCTACCAAGATTTCCACGGCCTACCCGAACATACGGCGGGGAGCGATGGGCGGTACGAACCACAATTTGTCGACCACATGGGCCTTAC